CCATAGACAGCTACGATTAATGAAAACATTCCAAAATCGAGGTTGTATCTTTTTGCAAATATCTCGAAAATGCTGTTGAAATATTNTGCAGTACAAAAAGGTGTACATCAAAAATAAGATGATGTGCAATAGTAGAGCCATTCCAGCAACAATTTTATTGTCAAAACAAGTAAATTTTTGTATTTAGTATTTAATCCTTCAAGAAATAAATCGTTTATTTATATATTTATTAAACTTAATAAAAGTATATGAAACTCTTATGCATTTTTTGAAAAGTAGGTTGATAACGATAGGAACTACTTTATTTTTTTGTGAACAGGAATCTACTCTATATTACATTTGTCTAAAACAAGCTTAGACAGACACTATTTGTCTTGTCCAATAGTATTTGCCCAGACATTTAATGATAAAACTGTAACGAACTACTGTTTGTCTAGGCAGACAGTATCTGACTAGGAAAAAGCTATCTACCTGAAATAACCATTTGTAAATATTACTTACTACTTGTTAATAACTCAAGATATATAAAAACAGAAGATAAATTTATTAGAATAAAACTGTCAGTTTGAAAACCGTGGTAGCACTGCCGAGGCAGTGAATATACAGTCCACCGGAAGTAGACCACAACTTCGTTATTTTAACCCTTCCTCTGTAAACCTGGGTATTTCCTGTCCGAACTACAACTGTTTAGGCAAATAATTTGTTCATTTCATATAAAAAAATATGTATGCAAAAATAAATTTTTCGAAAATTTTATGATTAATTTATCAAGTTGAAGGTTTCGAACATTATCATAAATCGTTTATAAAAATTTTTGAGTGAGAGACCCGAAAGACCCACCTTTATAGAGGAAAGGTGCTAAAAAACCGTTTACAGACGAAGGGTTAAATGGAATGCTATAGTTTTTATTACACCTTTTAATTATATGCGAAAAAATATGTTGACTTTCATAAAAGTTATTGGTACCTAACGTTTTTCGTTTTCGAGTTATTTTGATTTTAAATTTTTCTTGGCAATTTTCATTATGCTCTTTAAAACTCGATATCTCAGCAAACGTTCATTCAAAAAAGCTCTAAAATGCCCCTTCAAATTCTGTCAAAAAGATTGTCATTTGCTGTATCACAGTATCTTATACAGAAAGGTCAAAAAGTGAATTACTTTTTTCTACATTAAATGGCAATGGAATATGGAGAAACGATAATTTTTGACCATCCTGTATAAGGTACTCTGATACAACAAATGACAATTTATTTGATATCATCTGAAGAGTAATCGTACCAAGTTAGAGCTTTCTTGAATAAATATTGGCTGAGATATAGAGTTTTAAAAGCATGATGAAATTTACCAAACAAAAACTTAAAATCAAAATAACTCGAAAACGAGAAAGTCAACATATTTTTTCGCATACAATTAAAAGTGGCAATAAAAACAATAACATTCCATTTAAAATAACGAAGTTGAGATCTACTTCCGGAAGACCGGAAGTAGATATAGACTACCTTGAAAATACTTTAGATCAAAAGATCGGTATGAGCCTCCCATATAAGCTAAATTTCAGGAACGATGATGCAATGGAACAGAAATAAAACGGGTATTGCTGACGTTTTGGCGGACACTATATAAAAGTAGTAATTAAATTTATTAAAATAAAATTGTTGGGTTGGGAATCGAGCCAGATGTGCTGCCGAAGCAATGCTTTCAATATATAAAATATATACAGGATGTTTCTAAATCGATTCGAAACTTTTTGTTCAAAACCCCTTCTCCTGCAAGTTAAAGCCCTCTAAAGTTAGGGGAAAAAAATCTTTTTATTTAATAAATCCACCATGGAGGAATTTAGAAAAATGAAATTTGACAGATAACTGTTGATAATAAAATGATACCTATTCACGATTTTTTTAACCTTAAAATAAGTTAGTTTGATCACAAAAAAATAACATAATACACATGCTCATTTGATATAATTCAGATTGGTTATAATTAGTTAAGAAAAATCAAGGAGGCTGATGTCAAATGAAGTCATAATGACAAATACTTTTGATATAGGGGATTTTCATAGTGGACATTCCATCGGGGATATATTAAGTAAAAGGAGTTTTTGAGGTTTTGAATAAAAGTTATATAATTTTTGCTGAAATATTACCTTTTGAAATCTTTCGCATCAATTTAGAAACACCTGTAGAGTTATAGTGTATACAATGTTTCTCTATCAGGTTGTCTTTACTTACAATTTGTTTCCATAGACAGTTACGATTAATGAAAACATTCCAAAATCGAGGTTGTATCTTTTTGCAAATATCTCGAAAATGCTGTGAAAATATTACCTCTTGAAATCTTTCGCATCAATTTAGAAACACCTGTATACTTATAGTGTATACAATGTTTTTCTATCAGGTTGTCTTTACTTACAATTTGTTTCCATAGGCACCTACGATTAAGGAAAATATACCAAAATCGAGGTTGTATCTTTTTGCAAATATCTCGAAAATGCTCTTGAAATATTACCTCTTGAAATCTTTCGCATCAATTTAGAAACACCTGTATACTTATAGTGTATACAATGTTTCTCTATCAGGTTGTCTTTACTTACNTATATACAGGATGTTTCTAAATCGATTCGAAACTTTTTGTTCAAAACCCCTTCTCCTGCAAGTTAAAGCCCTCTAAAGTTAGGGGAAAAAAATCTTTTTATTTAATAAATCCACCATGGAGGAATTTAGAAAAATGAAATTTGACAGATAACTGCTGCCAATAAAATGACACCTTTTGACGATTTTTGTAACGATTTTCATAGTGGATATTCCATCGGGAGTAAAAGGAATTTTTGAGGTTTTGAACAAAAGTTATATGAAAGACCCCCTTAATTTTTGCTGAAATATTACCTCTTCAAATCTTTCGCATCAATTTAGAAACACCCTGTATACCTATACAGTGTATACAATGTTTTTCTATAAGGTTGTCTTTACTTACAATTTGTTTCCATAGGCACCTACGATTAATGGAAACATTCCAAAATCGAAATTGTATCTTTTTGTAAATATCTCGAAAATGCTCTTGAAATATTACCTTTTGAAATCTTTCGCATCAATTTAGAAACACCTGTATACTTATAGTGTATACAATGTTTCTCTATCAGGTTGTCTTTACTTACAATTTGTTTCCATAGCACCTACGATTAATGAAAACATTCCAAAATCGAGGTTGCACCTTTTTGCAAATATCTCGAAAATGATGCGTCTAATCAAACATTTCTAAGAGTGATAATAATTTTGAAATGAAATAGGCTTTTATAATCAAAATTTAATGGTTTTTGACATAATAAAAAAGTTTGAAAGAAATCACCTTTGTGAACACCCTATATAGCATTGATCCCGTGGTTCGATATTTCCAATAGTGATCTTAAACGATTTGTTATTTAGTCAAATTTAGTCTTTCTAAGACAAAACATATTGAAAATGTTTAAGAAAATGTTTGAAAATTTCTTAACTTTGAAGACCCATATGGATTAAGATCAAATATTTTTACATGAAGCCTCAACATTTTTACTCTGCATTTGAAGCAGAAACATCCTGTATAAATTTGTTAAATTAAAATTGATTATTTGTAAGCTGAAGAAGCTAAGCCTCAGGCAATGTAATATAGTTGAATGCAAAACGTTATTTTCTTTTTATTAGTTAGAATAAATTTTAATGTATAACGATGTCATAAACCGCGATACAGTTTTATAGCTAACCTTCTAATCTATCTTAATGGCAATTTAAATTACAAATATCGATATGAAAGTTAAGATTTTCAATGATTATTTATTTTTAGTTTTATTGGCCACATTCTTGTTTTGATTGTAACTCAATAAATTAACCCGGGTTGTAATTCCTCTAAATAACAAAGTATTCTATACAAAGCATTCCTGGAACCAGTGTGGACGTGAGGTATTCAGCTATGCATTACTGTTGTAATTTCCAACATAGCAATCCTTCAGCGTTTTCAAAAAAGTTTTGCGAAGCATCGACGAACTTTTATATACTTCCAATGAGACCATTCGAAATGAAAACCCACTATAGACCACAAAATATGTAATCCACCAGTTTAGTTTACGGTACAGTGAATTAGTGCTTATCCACCTTAATTTTCTCGTCAAACAATTAAATGTACATGTCAAAGAAGAGCAAAGACTGAAACGATCTAATTCTAGAGGCAAAATAAGTCTACACACTAAATTTATGTATCTATAATAGTTAATTTAAAGGAGTTCAACAGTCTTTGTGTCATAACAAAATTGGGAAGGCAAGATGCGCATTGAAAGTGTTTGTTTCGTTGTTAGGGATATAACCCAACATTTTTGAAAAAAAACTTTTTGAACGATTTCTCACAAACGAAAAAAAAATGTGTCTCTTCCTCAAACACTTAGAATAAATCGTCGACGAAGTCATTTTAGACTGTTAAAGCCTTTCTCGTTAAATTTGGCAACATCCCAACGGATATACTTAATGAAGCTTTTGTTCATCATGATTTCGTAGGTGATGTATTAGCGTGTAACTTAAAAGGATTTTCTGGACCGCATCAACATCCGATACGTGGAGTAGTTGGAGATATTTAAGGTTTGAGATTTATAGTTTTGTCCGGGGAAAATGATTATAAATGAATCTGCCCTAAATTGATTTTAAAAGTCGTTTATTATACGGTCAGTACCACCGATCTCAATTGCTTTTAACCTGTTAACCCTTATTAACCTTTCAGCAGGAGAACATTACTTTATCACATCAATTTGTGAACAATTGATCCTAATAATAATTCAAATTTTAGCAATAAAGATAAAGATCGCTTAATAAAATTGAATGTAATAATTAAAGTGAAAATTAGTGCCATCTCAGAGAAGGAAGGCGTATTAATTGTAGATAACTGTAATGTGATTTAGCATTTTTTGAGGGATTTTAAGATAATATTTCGCAATGTTTATGCAACCATTTCTTATCACCAATTTTTTTATTTTATTTTTGATGACATCAGCTGTATATTCATGGTATATTCTACAGGTTACTGAGTGTATCGTTCTTTAACAAACATTCTTCTTGAATTTTTTTTATATTAATTAAGTATTCTTTTCCCATTAATACTTAATAACTATAAATATGTCATTTTCATGTGCAGTTATCACCGGTAAGTGATATTTATATTTATAAGTACGAAAGCTTTTACTGCTGGTGTTAATTAAACTAAAACTAGAACTAGTAGTAGTACTATCACTAGAACTAACACCAGACCTAGAACAAGAAACTCTTAAGACGGCTAAAAGAGTGCTAAGCAGCGCTAGTTAACATTAGATATCACTGTGTTACATATTTTTATTGAATCAAAACTAGAACCGACACTAGACCTAGAACTAGAAAGTTTCAAGGTGATAAAAATTGGTTGATTTTAATAATCTTAACAAATTTGTGTTGGGTTACTTTTATTTAAAAAAATCACATCTCCGGTGCTGCAAATATCGAAGAAATGAAATTTGCCATAAATATTCTATAAAGAATGATCTTTAATTTAAACCTAACCTGGTCGCTCCATCTTAATTAGGAAAGATGTTATCAATGTTTAAAGAATTGGTTGGTTTTAATAATCTTAACAAAGTTGGGTTAGGTTACTTTTTTGTTATAAAATCTGATGGTGCTACAAGTATTGAAGAAACGAAATTTACCATAAATATTCTATAAAAAATTATCTTTAATTTAAGATCAAGCCGGTCGTTCCATTTTAATTAGAAAAGAAGTTATTGAATATTAAAGAATTGGTTAATTTTAACAATCTTAATAACGTTGGGTTGGGTTACTTTTATTAAATAAATCATATCTCTGGTGCGGCAAATATTGAAGTAATGTAATTCTCCATAAATATTCTAGAAAGAACAATCTTTAATTTAAACCTAAATTAATCGCTTCATTTTAATTAGGAATGAAGTTATTAATTATTTAAAATTTGGTTGATTTTAATAATCTTAACAAATTTGTGTTGGATTACTTTTACTTAAAAAAATCACATCTCTGGTGCTGCAACGATCAAAGAAATGTAATTTGCCATAAATATTCTATAAAAAATGATCTTTAATTTAAATCTAACCTGGTCGCTCCATCTTAATTAGGAAAGATGTTATCAATTTTTAAACAATTAGTTGATTTTAATAATCTTAACAAAGTTGGGTTAGGTTACTTTTTTGTTATAAAATCTGATGGTGCTACAAGTATTGAAGAAACGAAATTTACCATAAATATTCTATAAAAAATGATCTTTAATTTAAGATCAAGCCTGGTCGTTCCATTTTAATTAGAAAAGAAGTTATTGAATATTAAAGAATTGGTTAATTTTAACAATCTTAATAACGTTGGGTTGGGTTACTTTTATTAAATAAATCATATCTCTGGTGCGGCAAATATTGAAGTAATGTAATTCTCCATAAATATTCTATAAAGAACGATCTTTAATTTAAACCTAAATTGATCGCTTCATCTTAATTAGGAATAAAGTTATTAATTATTTAAGAATTGGTTGATTTTAATAATCTTAACAAATTTGTGTTGGGTTACTTTTATTTAAAAAAATCACATCTCCGGTGCTGCAAATATCGAAAAAATGAAATTTGCCATAAATATTCTATAAAGAATGATCTTTAATTTAAACCTAACCTGGTCGCTGCATCTTAATTAGGAAAGATGTTATCAATTTTTAAAGAATTAGTTGGTTTTAATAATTTTAACAAAGTTGGGTTAGGTTATTTTTTTGTTATAAAATCTGATGGTGCTACAAGTATTGAAAAAACGAAATTTACCATAAATATTCTATAAAAAATGATCTTTAATTTAAGATCAAGCCTGGTCGTTCCATTTTAATTAGAAAAGAAGTTATTGAATATTAAAGAATTGGTTAATTTTAACAATCTTAATAACGTTGGGTTGGGTTACTTTTATTAAATAAATCATATCTCTGGTGCGGCAAATATTGAAGTAATGTAATTCTCCATAAATATTCTATAAAGAACGATCTTTAATTTAAACCTAAATTGATCGCTTCATCTTAATTAGGAATAAAGTTATTAATTATTTAAGAATTGGTTGATTTTAATAATCTTAACAAATTTGTGTTGGGTTACTTATTTAAAAAAATCACATCTCCGGTGCTGCAAATATCGAAAAAATGAAATTTGCCATAAATATTCTATAAAGAATGATCTTTAATTTAAACCTAATCTGGTCGCTCTATCTTAATTAGGAAAAATGTTATCAATTTTTAAAGAATTGGTTAATTTTAACAACCTTAATCAGTTTGGGTTGGGTTAATTTAAAAAATTATAACTCTTGTGTTACAAATGTTGAAGAAACGAAATTCACCATAAGTATTCTATAAAAAATGATCTCTAATTTAAGATCAACCTGGTCGTTCCATCTTAATTAGGAAGGAAGTTATTGAATATTAAAGAATTGGTTGATTTTAAAAATCTTAATAACGTTGGGTTGGGTTACTTTTATTTAAAAAAATCACCAAATGAAATTTGCCATAAATATTCTATAAAGAATGACAGTTCTAGGTCAAATGTTAGTTCTAGTTTTAGATTAATATTTATATTTATTGCTAATAATAAATATATAATACTTATTTAATTTTATATATTTTAGTTAGTGATACTTGTTATAATAAAACAGCTATTGATAAAAGTGGTCCAGCTTTACTAGAAGCAATAAAAGAAAATTTCCCTGGAGCAAGATCAATGTATGCATTAGTTCCAGACAGTTATGATGAAATAATCAATCTACTAAAGACTTATTGCGAACAAAACATAAATCTTATTTTAACAACTGGTGGCACAGGTTTATCTAAAAGAGATGTAACTCCAGAAGCAACTAAATCAATCATTGAGAAAGAAATACCCGGAATAACACAAACAATGCTTTTAAAAAGTTTGGAAATTACTGATATGGCAATGTTATCGCGAGCTGTTGCTGGGAGCAAAAATAACTCTTTAATTATAAATTTACCGGGAAGTAAGAAAGGTGCATTAGAATGCTTTGGGTTTATCAAATCAATTATACCCCACGCAATCGATTTAATCTTAGATCGTAAAGAAAATATTAAAGTCACACATTCTCAAATTTCAAAACATAATCAAGAAAATAAAGATTTAAAACCAAATACAACAAGCAAAGTTAAAATTTTACCCTCAGCTTTAAGAAATAGAACATCTCAATATGAAATGATTAGCTTTGATAAAGCCTTTAACATTGTAAAAGATTTCTCAAAAAATTTTCATGATATAGAAGAAATACCGATCGAAGAGTCTCTCGATAGAGTTTTAGCATGCAATATTATTACAAATACCCCATTTCCACCTTTTAGGGCGTCCATAAAAGATGGATACGCTGTAATTGCTGCGGATGGAGCAGGTGAACGCGTGGTAAAAACTGGTTTTGCGGCTGGTGATGATGTAATTACAAAAATTGAGAAATTAATTTGTTTTAATTTAAACATTTAAATAAATTTTAGACTTCGGGTTTATTTGTTAATCTTGGAGAAACTGTTCGTGTTAATACCGGGGGTTGTGTCCCAGAAGGAGCTGATGCGGTTGTTCAAGTTGAAGATACATCTCTAATTGAGGCCGACGAACAAGGAAATGAAATTAAAATTATGATTAATAAAGCACCTATTTGTAATCAAGATATAAGGCAAGAAATAATTAGAAAAATAAACTCGATTAATAAATTTATTTATTTTTTTAGATCTATTGGGAGTGATATCTCAAAAAGTACGATTCTTTTTAGGGAAGGTGAAACGATTTCATCTGCCCATATAGGAATATTTGCAACTTTGGGGCATTTAAAAATAAAAGTGTATAGGTATGTTTTAATTTTCTGTTTATTAATTTTTTATTTAAAAATACAAAATTAAAGGCGTGCTCGTGTTGGATTACTATCGACAGGTAATGAAATATGCTCCATTAAAACAGAAAATTTAAAGCCGGGTCATATTCGAGATAGCAACAAATTAACATTGTTAAATCTCTTGAAAACTTTTGGATACACCGCCAACGATCTTGGAATCATAAAAGATGAGTAAGTTATAAACCGCTTCATTTACACCATTTAATTTTTAAAAAAATTGTAGCCCAGACTTACTAAAACAAGCGTTACAAGATGCTTTTACACATCACGATGTAATAATAACAACTGGAGGAGTCTCAATGGGCGAATACGACCTAATTAAAGAAATTCTAAAAGTTGATTTTGACGCGACTATTTTATTCGGTAGAGTTAATATGAAACCTGGGTAAATCAATAAATCAAATTGTCCGAAATAAATTATTTAAAATATTCTTTTAGAAAACCTACAACTTTTGCAACATGCCAATTTAATGGATCTACTAAATTAATATTTGCGCTACCTGGAAATCCAGTTTCAGCTACTGTTACATGTAGATTATTTGTTATTCCATCATTGCGTACATATGAATGTTCTAGAAATGATACATATCATCTTTTTAAAGCACAAGTGGTATGTGTTGTTTGAATAATCATTAATTTATTTAATTATGCTCATTGTTTTAGAATGTGCAGATTACTGGTGATGATAGATGGGATTTTAGACGTGTCAAGATATCCGAACTTGCAGCAACAAATCGTGTTAAAATTGCTACTGAAGTTGGCAACCAAATTAGCAGCAGATTGAATAGTTGCGTTGGTGCTCAAGGATTATTAATCGTTCCTGCTAGATTTAATACAACTAATTTACCGTTTTTCTTAGATGCTATTATGTTATACCGTTAGAATAAATATTGTGATAAAAATAACCACTTTATGGTTCATCGAGAAAAACATAACCATAAAATTTTGACAGAGAAATTTTTGTTGGTAGAAATCTTATTTAAAACCGTTTAGTTTGCTTCCAGAGGTATCAATTAAATTAGTTCAGCTCCTAAAGCACATTTTTCATCCATCCTTTGATGTTATAACGTTATTTTGAAGAAGAAATCGTTGATTGAAAATTGAATTTTTCTAACATTACTCATTGATGGAATTTGGCGTGTACTCCAATGTATATCTGAAAACAAGAAAAGACAACGATGAATACGAAGTTTTATTACGATTTATAAAGGAATAAGGGAGAAATCAACGGAAAAAGAATTTAATTTTGAAGGTTAGTTCCAAGAAAATCCGAGAGATGACGCTAATTTCGATGCAAAAATTTAAAATTTTGAAAAAGGCGCGAACCTAAGAACCAATCAGAAACGAGGAAGAAACAGGAGGGGGGCCGAGTATAAAAGGAAATCGCAAGTAAACAAGAGGTAGTCGTCATCTGACCAACAATGAATTCACGTCGGTTGACAGAAAGAAAAAAATAATTGAACTAACCTCAAAACTTATCCGAGAACTCCTGAATCATCTTGGAAGTCATCCAAATCCGAAGGACAAACAGTCCACTCATCCGTCAGAAAAATCCCGTAGAGAGACCGAAGGAGAGTAACCAATCCAGAAAACTAGCTCGAACTCCGAAACCAAGAGAATATCCTTTATCCTGTTATCACATTGAATCCAAACCCTTTTTCTTCGCAGTGAGTCGGTTGATAATTTATTTTTTTTATTTAATATAACCTATAAAAGAAAAATTAACCAATTAAACTCAAAAGACAACTCACAAGAGTAAAGATTTTTCAGTTTTTCTTGTGTAACGTTCACTTTCTTTTAACACTATTTTTTTCAACGAGTTTGATTTCAATTTAAAACGTTAGCCATTTTTATTTCAAGGACGGATATAACGAGTTTTCTACCCTGTTCTCGTGTTCTCTCTCAAATCGATTTTTCAGTCGATAATTGTAGTTTTCTGTTTTTATTTAAAAGTTTTACCTCTCGTCGATAGAAATTTACTTTAAATTCAAAAGAAATTTATTTTTTTTAACTGAACTTGCCCGAAACCCTGAGTTTAATTAGAGTCTCATAGTTAAAACTATTATTATTGTAATTAATTAAATTAAAGAAAATCCTATTTTTTTTGAAAAACCGAACATTGTAGTTTTACTTCATTTAATCATAGTCACCACACACACATGTGGGACACACACAGTAAAACTTACAATATATTTTTTATAATTATGAATTTTATTGATCACCATAAAGTAATAACTTTCCTTTCCTGGTATCAAGTCGCAATACCCAGCGAAAATGCGACTCTTCGAATTCTTTCAACGCTTCAAACACTTTCACCTCCTTCGCAAACGTCGCCCAATCTAACTCTTCCATACCAATAAGTTCTAGCCTCTCCAAAAATCCTCATAAAGAACAAGATCTTTTACAATTCCACGCCCCACATCTACAATTCTCCAGACACTACAACCTCAACTTATAACTCTTGTGTTACAAATAATGAAGAAACGAAATTTGCCACAAATATTCTATAAAAAAATGATCTTTAATTTAAGATCAAGCTGTTCGTTTCATTTTAATTAGGAAAGAAGTTATTGAATATTAAAGAATTGGTTAATTTTAATAACGTTGGGTTGGGGTACTTTAATTAAATAAATCATATCTCTGGTGCGGCAAATATTGAAGAAATGAAATTTACCATAAATATTCTATAAAGAATGGCTTTAATTTAAGATCAAGCTGGTCGTTCCATCTGAATTAAGAAGGAAGTTATGGAATATTAAGGAATTGATTGATTTTAACAATCTTAATACAGATGGGTTGGGTTACTTTAATTAAATAAATCATATCTCTGGTGCTGCAAATATTGAAGAAACGAAATTTTAGTGGTGGACTCGAGACGATACTCGGACAAGACAAGACTTTCATTGGTCTCGTCTCGAGTCTCGTGCATCAAATCTTGCGTCTCGTACGAAAGTCTCGCAGGTAACTATTTCTGCAAATAATATCTGCAACATTGCTGTAAATATTTTCGTATCTACACGATGGAATTCCAGTAATGATATGTTGAAAGTACCTCTTGAAGGTAGACATGGACTTGGTGCATCGTGTAAAAATGTTGTTGATTTAAAACCATGTGCTCTTGAGGACAAAGAATGGATACTGCTAGAAGAAGTGTATAAAGTACCAGTCAACTTTCAAATACTTTCCAATTACCTATGGTGGTTGTATATATCAATATACTAATATAGTTAATATAAGTTATGGGAGGAGATGAGGAGGAGAGGGATTACTGGTGGGACAATAAACAGGGTGAGGGAGATATACGCAGAGACGATAGCTAGGGTAAAGGTGGGGGACGAGTTAACGGATAGGTTCTGGACAACGAGGGGTTTGAGGCAGGGATGTCCACTTAGTCCCGCTCTGTTTGCCTTGTATACCGCAGACATGGAAGACAGATTGACCGGTGGGCAGATGGGAGGTGTGGTTGTAGGGAGGAGGAAGGTGCATTCACTGGCTTACGCGGACGATTTGGTGGTAGTGGCGAGAGAGGCGAAGGAGATGAAGGCGATGATGCGGAGTTTGGAGAGTTACTTTAGGGGGAAGGCTCTGGAGGTGAATGTAGGAAAGACAAAGGTTATGAAGTTCTGTAAAGGGGGTAGAAGGAAGAGCGAAGATTGGAGGTGGGAAGGGAAGGAGATAGAGGAGGTGAGGGAGTACACATATTTGGGGTACAGATTTAGAGAGGACAACAAGGAAGGCGCGCATGTGAGGGCAATGGCCAAGAAGGCGAATAAGGTGATGGGGCAGGTCTGGGGGTGGGGAGAGAGATTATTTGGAAGGGATATAGGAAAAAGGAAGATGATATTCGAGTGCTTGATTAGAAGTGTTATGATGTACGGGGCGGAGCTTTGGGGGTGGAAAGAGCAAGGGCTGTTGGAAGGCGTACAGGCTAGGTATTGGAGATGGGTTTTGGGGTTGGCAAAAGAGACGCCGGAGTACATAGTCAGAGAAGAGGTGAAGGTTGATAAGTTAAGAGTGGAGGCGGGTAAAAGGGCGGTACGTTTTGAGGAGAGGGTTGAAGGGAGGTCTCAATGTAAAATTTTGGGGGAGTGCTGGAAAGAGATTAAGGCAGGGAAAGGGGGTTACGGGCAACGAGGGAGGGAGGAATATTTCAGAAGGGTGGGGTACTCAGTGAAAGCGGTAGATGATAGAAGGAGGGAAGGGATTGAGATGTGGAAAGAGCTGGAGAGCAGGGATAGAGATGTACAGAGGCAAGAAAGAAGGGGGCAGATAAGGGAGAGCAGGTACAACCCTAAGTACGAGGAAATAATAACGGAGGGATTGCCGAAGTACCTGTCGGTGGAGGGGGATGAGGAGGGGAAGAGGATGGTGGCAAGATTCAGATGCGGCAATGAGGAGAGAGCGAATAGGTATTGGATGAGAGATGATGAGAGGGGTTGTAGGCTATGTGGGGGGGAGTGGGAGTCGTTGGAGCACCTACTGAGGGAGTGTGACGAGCTAAGAGAGGAGGTGATCGGCTGGAAGCAGGTGCTGGGGGAGAGGGCAGAGGGAAGAGAATGGATGAGGGAGGTGGTGGCGACAAGGCAGCGTAGGGAGATGCGGGGAGGAGATGGGGAGGGGTGGGATAGGAAATAAAATGTATTGTATTGTAATGTGATATATGTAATTGTAGTATTGTTAAAATTTAATTGTTTGTGGAATGTAATGCTGATTTTGTAGCAATAAACTTAATTATTATATACTAATATATAATATTGAGAGCAAAATATTTACATGGGACCGAAAGGCAGACCGAAACGCTGTTGAAGAGCAGCTTATTGTTAATTTTCAGGCTGCGAGAGACAAAATATTAAAGCAAGGCTGTAATTCTCTCTTCCGACTCTTACATTATAGCAAGTATTTAAGTGTTCCTTATTGCACCGAAACAATAAGATTATGCATGACGAGATTTCGATACTTTTATGAGAGTGGAGGTTGCGAGACGAAACTTGATACAAAACTTATTAGTTCATCGGCGAGACGAGACAAGAGTTTATAGAAATCTCGTCTCGTTGGTCAAAATTTGCCATAAATATTCTATAAAGAATAATTTTTAATCAATTTTAAAGAATTGGTTGATTTTAATAATTAAATTTACAATTTACCATAAATATTCTATAAATAATGATTTTCAATTTAAACCCAATTTGATTACTTCATCTCAATTAGGAAGTAAGAAACATCTTGGACGTCTATCATTGTCAACATTTTAATTAAATTTTTTTTGTAGGATTTCTACATACAATATTTAATACTTATACAGGGTGTCTCAGCGAGACCGGTCATTAGACGTTTCTGGGGTTCTGGCGAAAATAAAAATTTGAGAATTCAGACTTAAATATTATCAATTACGATCTCTTCGTCTAAAATATTTTCAGATTTCTTGCACTTCCGGTTATGCCGGAAGTCGCCACCAACTTTATTTTTTTAAATGGAACACCTGTATATTTTTACATATTTGGATTTGTCTGTTTTCAAGGTTTATAAATAACTTTACTTTTTGCAATTTGATTCGGTCGTTCTCGAGTTATTCGAATTTTTATAGAAAAATCTGCTCCAGCAGACATTTGTTCAAAAAATCAGAAAACACTCAATTTTTGGGATATCAATTTAGGATTGAGAACATGCTTAAGCAACATGATGGAGTATGTTTTGGTGCCGAGAACGGCTGTCTAGATCGTTTGGTCACTTCGATACGTTAACTTTTCGAAATTTAGAAGCACCATAACTTCATTTTTTTAAATGACACCCCCCATATTTTATTACTTAGTCGTCTGCGGCGTCTCATTTTACATCTTTTATATTTCATATGTCCTATGTCCTATGCCATATAAATTATTAAAATAGAAATTGTTAAAATAAAACCATTTTTTTAAATACTTATATATATACAGTTATTACAGTTATGTAAATACACAATAAATTCGTGTTTATGTACAGAATATATACGTAACTAAATACAGTCTTTCTAATAATTAAATTACATTTAAATAGACAACGTCCTCCAAAACGAATTCTTCACCAAGTCATAAGACATTTTTGGTTTTTGAACGGTTATGGCAACATCTAAGGTACACAACGCCGATTCCGACAAAACCAAGGGATAATACTCCAAACAACCGTTACTCTCTACTGATATTTCAGTTGTATTTTCTTTTCTGCAAACAACAACAATTAGGTTTCATAAAATAACTTAGTTCATTTTACTTACGACACAAATTTCGGCGTTACAAACATTGAATCCGTAGATAATCCGGTTGGATTTAACGTAATAACTTTGATACCCAACGGAGCCAATTCCGTTCTTAAAGCTTTGCTTGCTCCTTCTACTCCATATCTAGCAGCGGTGTACGCAACCAAGCCTGAGTCTGTTGGATTAACAGCTCCGATTGTAACGATACGGCCAGAAGCGGTTTTTAATAAATTTTGGAAAGTCCGTGCTGTTCTTAAAACACCAACGACGTTTGTTTTTAAAACAGCATCCCAATGAGTTATATCTTGTTGATCAAATCGACCGCGATATACAGAACCGCTTGTATTTATTACAGCCCATATACCTTAAAGTTGTATCAAATTAATTAAGTTAGATTAAAATTGGGATTATATTACCGTCTTTTCCTGCTGGTAAATGCGCCCTAATTATATCGACCGCCTCATGAAGCAGATCTTCTCTTGTAACATCCAATGGTAAAGCCACCAAAGCGCCTTGATGACCAGAAATCGATTCTCTATGTTTTTGCCATGATCTAATAATTCTCGATGAAGTGGTATCGGGGGATTCCTCACCCGTTGAGATGTCTTTTAATCCAGCAAATACTCGAAATCCTCGATTAGCGAGATGAATCGCAATCTAAAAAATCTTAATAATAAAGGAAAAATGAAACCATATTCTTTTACTGACCTGTAATCCAACTGCGTTATCGCAACAAGTAACAAGAACTGGTTTTCCAGCACCTGGTGATAATTCTTGCGGTTCAGAACCGAAACCCACTCGAATTTTACAGATTAAATACAAAAGTAAAGCGCCGGCAATTGAAAATAACGCAACCAATTGAATGGCTAAAACTAAAGCGGTTTGTTCGTCCATTATCTGTAAACAAAGATTGAAATTAAAACGTACTCTATTTTATTTTATTTTATTTTAATAGCCCATTGTATTCAATGTATTCGACACTGTCATAGTTCCATTTTTATGAATCCATTACATCGAATACAAAATTGAGGCGTGACTCGACTTGAATAAGCAATTGTCCACACCTCATTTGATGATAACATCTCAATTAAGAACAACCAAAAAAAATCGCGATATTATTACAAAGAGAAAGTACGGAATTGTTTGAATCTAACTCGGTTGTTCTAGCGTAACGGAAACAGGAACTATATCCGCTAAGAATATTATTGTAATAAATGTAGACAATAATAAACTTTCATTATATGAAAGTAAAATTTCTAAAGAATAGAATGCGACTGTAGGAAGTCTTGTATTAATTGTGTATGTGAGTAATGTGAGAGTGCGACGATTATGGTGGAACTAAACGATAAAATGCGTGTAAAGAGAACGGCCTCGTTAAAGATGTTAAAAAATTAGCACTTAAAAAATTTTATATGATATCACATTACATTTCTAACTGTACATTACATTACATTACATAGAATACATATCGGGTAGGTGGACCAACCAACCTTGCACCGCGACCCTAAGGATCTATTGTACCTCGATAGATATCGTTATCAAATTTCACCGTGGAGTCCAATGCTCTTAACGAACATTAATACCTTGCTCGGCGAAAGGTCATTCAGATCTTTTGAGGAGATAAACTGCGACCCAAAAATCGAGAATCTAATACGGTTAACGGCAGGGCAGTGGCATAAAACATGCCCAACCGTCTCTGCTTCCTCCGCACATAGTCGGCATTCAACATCGTCGGCTAAACCCAACAAGTTGAGGTGTGCTTTTAATCGGCAGTGCCCAGTAAAAACACCCATTAGAACTTTTATGCTACTACGGGCAAGTCCTAAAATATTCCCGGGTTTGACAGTGGCGATGTTAATAAACACCTTAGCATGTCTCATTCCAGGAGAACTGGTCCACAGTAGGCGAAGTCTCTCTTCAGCCCACAGTCCAATCCTATATTTGGCCATCGCAAATGATACACCAACTGCTGGTTCCGGTCCCACAAACGCTTCAGCGCTGCCATCTCGTGCTAGCTTATCTGCCGCTTCATTGCCAGCAACCCCAGAGTGACCCGGGACCCAGATCAGAGAGACTCTGTTATCACAACTCAGTGTGTTTAATGTTCTCTTACAATCATTAACCAGAGCCGACACCGTTTTCACGGCTTGCAGCGCCTGGAGAGCGGCTTGACTGTCTGAGAAAATTCGTACTGTCATGTTCTTCACCCCTCTTTCAAGAAGGATTTTAGCACCCATGTCAATAGCAAATACTTCCGCCTGGAATACAGTACAGTACGTACCCAGGCTGTAGGCTTGCTTAATTCGAGGTGTCTGGCAGTATACTCCTGCTCCTACCCCTTCAGGCGTTTTTGATCCATCTGTGTACAAGCAAATGTCTGCCCGAACCAGAGAATTTTCATTTTCGATCCAGGACTGCCGCTCAGGCAGTACAATCTGGTATCGAGCATTAATCACTGATAGTGATACCGCCAAATCTGACGGCATTGATAGCACAGTATCAGTGCTTATAATGTCTTCCGCAGCCCATTGGTAGGACATGTCGGAACAGTTTTGAGCATATTGCTTAAATCTGTAAATGGTTGTTCTAGCCACTTTCTCTATATGCAAATGCAGAGGAGATAGGCCAAGCAGAACCTCCATTGCTAGAGTTGGCGTTGTGCCTATCGCACCAGAGATTGCCAATCCAGCTACTCGTTGAATTCGTGAAAGTTTACTGATAACTGAAGTCTGTCGGACTTTCCTATACCAGGCTGCTGCTCCGTATGTGATCATAGGTCTAACCACAGTCACATAGAGCCAGTACAGTCTTTCAGGGGTAAGACCCCAATTTTTTCCACAAAGACTGCGACAAGTCCACAAGGATAGTCTAGCTTTGTGCAAAACTCCCTGCAAATGTCCATTCCATGACAGGGTTTTGTCTAGGATTACTCCTAGATATTTGACTTCCTTTGAGAAAGGAATTTCTTCACCTTGGATAGTTGGGCGGATTAGTCCATCCAACTTTCGCTTCCTGGTGAAGGGCACAACAATTGTCTTTTGCGGGTTTATTGAGAGGTTCTCTCCCTTACACCAAGCGCAAATGGTATCTAGGGTCACCTGGAGGACTTTAGATATCCTCGGCAAACAGGTTCCTTTGACCATAACGACAATGTCATCAGCATAAGCTTGTATTTCCACACCAACGGCTTCGACTATCGCAATCAGATCGTCAACTAGGAGGGACCAAAGCAGGGGAGATAACACCCCTCCCTGCGGGCAGCCACCTCCCGGCCTGAAGCGTATCGTATCACCGTGGAGTGAAGTAGAAACTATTCTACTATCTAGCATATTGCGGATCCAACCCGCTATAGTTGCTTCCACTCCCCTGTCAAGAGCAGCTCTTTCAAGAGATTGTGGTATTGCGTTGTTGAACGCTCCCTCTATATCCAGAAACGCACAAACCAAGATTTCTTTATCCTGCAGCGTCCTGGATACTCTACCAACTAAGTTGTGTAGAGCCAATTCTGCTGATTTTCCCGCTTGATAAGCATACTGGTGGCGACTCAGTGGACCAGATACCAATGGCACCGTACGGATATACCGTTCCAGAACTTTTTCAAGGGTTTTCAGCAGAAATGACGTTAGGCTGATGGGTCGAAAGGCATTAGAAGTAGGGACCGAACGGCCCGCTTTGGGTATGTAAGATACCCGTACCTTAGTCCATTCTGCCGGCACATATTTCCAGGCGACACTCGCTCTGAAAATTTTTACCAAAATTGGCAACAACAAAGACCTCCCCTGCTGTAATTTTTCTAACTGTATCATAATAACTAAATCGAAATCTCATTAAAATATGCTTCGTTACCGTTACAAGAATAAAACGCATCAAAATTCTTAACAACCTAACTGTTCTTTTTCTTCAAACTCAGCTTAAGATACTGATATAGCTTTTATAAAATTTCAATCAATACCAATCACTCGTTCATTACAAACAGATGTTCGATTTAACTCGATACCTTCTTGCGAAATGAAAACGTTTTTTACGTAACAACTATCTTTGAGGCATATGGTATTTTCTTCCCATTATTTTGTAACTGTAGTTGTATGGTACTGTTTCACTTTCGTCGATATTCGCACTATTGTCTTAAGAAAAGTTACGTAACTAAATTGAAAAAAAGAAAATAAAAATGTAAGAATTATTTTTTAATAGTGCTAATAAATCGTTACACAAACCATTCGAGTCACGCGAAAATTCTATTAACGTTTATAAAAGAATAATGTTTGAGTAACGTTTAAAATTAATAAAAACCCACTTCATCTGAAATATCTTAATGTTCTTCTTGGTAAAGTTCAACGACCGAAATGTATTAAATCGGCTTCTTAAGCAAATGCATGTGTACAACATGCGGGTAATAATGGTTTAGGAATGTGTAACACTTTTGAAATTACTTTTTTATGGATTTGACGCAACCCAAGTTTAAATTGAAAGAAATGATTTTTAGAAACTCGAATCTTATTTTAGTAAATTTAACACATCTTCCTGTTGTTGGCCAGTTTGCGACTGGCGAAACCGTTCGGTCACGGTTCCGACTTTTTCCTGTGACTAATAAGTCACTTCCTCGAGTCACTGCACAAATATAACAAGAAACTGAGCTCTCCCATAACCACCGGGATGTGAAGAAATAAAAACGAACTTAAGTGATTTAATTAAAGAAAAATCACTCGATTTAAATTTAATTAAAAGTTATGTCTCATTTTGAAGAGAAAAGTTCGAAATTTAATTTGGTATAAAAATTATTTTTTAATTTTCATAAATAAATGAGATATGATTTTTTAAAGTTGTTATAATTTCGTGATTAAAATCAAAATTGCAATATTTTCATTAAAAATTATTTTTGAAATATTTCAAAATAAGATATTTATGTTATACAGGTGTCTCCGAAATGCGTGTACAACGGAAGACCACAAATTCCTTGACTCAAAATAAGTCGATTTAAGTTATCTATATCCCAAGTTGCTTCGTTTTGCCGCTAGAGGACTTCAACATTAGCAGAAAAAATTCTTTTACCATTTACCATTTTTCAGAAGTGTATTCACGTTAAACATAAATTGCAATTAGTTGAAATCATTGCCAACTACGATAAGGTAACTTTTGTAACTGCAATGACGTAAACAAGGCTTGCAGATATTTAAAAATACCTTTTTTCTGGCTTAACCACTTATGTAATCAAAATCTTATAAGAGACAAAAACGGTTTAGAACTAAATGGGCTATTCAGAAATTATAATAATGTAATTGTCGCCTGGCCAGAAAAAAAAATATGGAGTAATATCCGGTGAACACATGACATTTCCATCATTCCTGTGTTTCTAAAATCGTATCAAAAACCATAAAAAGACATTAATTGAACCTATAGGAACTCACTTCTGAAAAATGGTTTCAATTGATTTACATGTTTTCGAGTTATAAAAAATAAAAGAATTTTTTTTGCTAACTTTGAAGTCCTCTAGCGACGAAACGAAGCAACTTTGGATATAGATAACTTAACTTAAATCGACCTATTTTGAGCCAACGAATCTGTGGTCTTCCATTGTACACGCATTTCGAAGACACCCTGTATATCATTTTAAAGAGAAAACTTTACTCTTTAATTTGGTATAAAAATCATTTCTTAATCTTTATAAATAAATGAGGTATAATTTTTTAAAGTTGACACAATTTCCTAAGAATTAGGTTAAAATCAAATTGCAACATTTTCATTAAAAATTCTTTTTGAAGGATTTTGACATACGATTAAGAGTTATATATCATGTCAAAGAGAAAACTTTACCCTTTAATTTGGTATAAAAATCATTTCTTAATCTTTATAAATAAATGAGGTATGATTATTTAAAGTTGACACATTTTCATGATCGATTAAGTTAAAATCAAAATTGCAACATTAACATTAAAAATTCTTTTTGAAGGATTTCCACCTACAACATTTAATACTTATATATCATTTTAAAGAGAAATCTTTACTCTTTAATTTAGTATAAGAATCATTTCTTCAACTTCATAAATAAATGAGGTTTGATTTTTTAAAGTTGACACATTTTCATGATCGATTAAGTTAAAATCAAAATTGCAACATTAACATTAAAAATTCTTTTTGATGGATTTCCACCTACAATATTTAAGAGTTATATATCATTTTAAAGAGAAATTTTTACTCTTTAATTTAGTATAAGAATCATTTCTTCAACTTCATAAATAAATGAGGTTTGATTTTTTAAAGTTGACACATTTTCATCGATTAAGTTAAAATCAAAATTGCAACATTAACATTAAAAATTCTTTTTTAAGGATTTCCACCTTCAATATTTAATACTTATACAGAGTGTTTTAAAACAACGTTTAAATATTTATAGGGGTTATAGGTTAATCAACGTGGGTCGGAAAATCAACCGTTTTCGAGATACAGAATAAGATATAGATACAGATAAATTTTTTGGGACTCTAGGTTTTTTTTTTTTAAACTATAACTACTACAGATTCGATATTTGGCTAATCGACAAAGTATGAAAGTAGAAAGGATGTGCTCTCAAACTATTTCCATTGGCACGGCCGTACATAAACACCATATCGCTCATTTCAGCATTTGAATACAAGACCATTGCAAACGATTTCACTTCAGGTTTCGCAAAATCAAATTAATGGAGTTTGGTTATTTCGTAATTTGAACGAAACGTTAAATTAATGTATGTTAGCAGATTGTACGTAAGGCAAAGCCTACTCCTTGTAATGGTCAAATTTTGGTAACTAATGGCATAACGTTTTGTAATGGAATAACTTATACTAACTGGAAGCAATGGAAACATCATACTACTCTCAAAAAGAGACAGTTTCATACTGTATCGATTTGCCAATTATCAAATTTGTAGTAGTTACAGTTTAAAAGAAAAAACGTAGAGTCCCAAAAAATTTGAACATCCTGTATCGCGAAAACGGTTGATTTTCGGACCCATGTTGATTAACACTTTTCGACTTGTTTTCTACTGTAGCACTACCCCTATAAATATTTAAACGTTGTTTTAAAACACCCTGTATATCATTTTAAAGAGAAATCTTTACTCTTTAATTTGATATAAAAATCATTTCTTAATCTTCATAAATAAATAAAGTATGACTTTTTAAAGTTTACACAATTTCGTGATAGATTAAGTTAAAATCAAAATAGCAACATTTTCATTAAAAATTCTTTTTGAAGGATTTCCCCATACAATATTTATGAGTTATATATCATTTTAAAGACAAATCTTTACTCTTTAATTTGATATAAGAATCATTTCTTCAATTTCATAAATAAATGAGGTTTGATTTTTTAAAGTTGACACAATTTTGTGAAAGATTAAGTTAAAATCAAAATAGCAACATTTTCATTAAAAATTCTTTTTGAAGGATTTCCCCATACAATATTTAAGAGTAATATATCATTTTAAAGAAAAATCTTTACTCTTTAATTTGATATAAGAATCATTTCTTAATCTTCATAAATAAATGAAGTATGACTTTTTAAAGTTTACACAATTTCGTGATAGATTAAGTTAAAATCAAAATAGCAACATTTTCATTAAAAATTCTTTTTGAAGGATTTCCCCATACAATATTTAAGAGTTATATATCATTTTAAAGACAAATCTTTACTCTTTAATTTGATATAAGAATAATTTCTTAATCTTCATAAATAAATAAAGTATGACTTTTTAAGGTTTACACAATTTCGTGATAGATTAAGTTAAAATCAAAATAGCAACATTTTCATTAAAAATTCTTTTTGAAGGATTTCCCCATACGATATTTAAGAGTTATATATCATTTTAAAGACAAATCTTTACTCTTTAATTTGATATAAGAATCATTTCTTAATCTTCATAAATAAATGAAGTATGACTTTTTAAAGTTGACATAATTTCGTGATAGATTAGGTTAAAATTAAAATAGCAACATTTTCATTAAAAATTCTTTTTGAAGGATTTCCCCATACAATATTTAAGAGTTATATATCATTTTAAAGACAAATCTTCACTCTTTAATTTGATATAAGAATCATTTCTTAATCTTCATAAATAAATAAAGTATGACTTTTTAAAGTTTACACAATTTTGTGATAGATTAAGTTAAAATCAAAATAGCAACATTTCCATTAAAAATTCTTCTTGAAGGAGTTCCCCATACAATATTTATGAGTTATATATCATTTTAAAGACAAATCTTTACTCTTTAATTTGATATAAGAATCATTTCTTCAATTTCATAAATAAATGAGGTTTGATTTTTTAAAGTTGACACATTTTCGTGATCGATTAAGTTAAAATCCAAATTGCAACATTAACATTAAAAATTCTTTTTGAAGGATTTCCCCATACAATATTTAATACCTATATATCATTTTAAAGAGAAATCTTTACTCTTTAATTTGATATAAAAATCATTTCTTAATCTTCATAAATAAATAAAGTATGACTTTTTAAAGTTTACACAATTTTGTGATAGATTAAGTTAAAATCAAAATAGCAACATTTCCATTAAAAATTCTTCTTGAAGGAGTTCCCCATACAATATTTATGAGTTATATATCATTTTAAAGACAAATCTTTACTCTTTAATTTGATATAAGAATCATTTCTTCAATTTCATAAATAAATGAGGTTTGATTTTTTAAAGTTGACACAATTTTGTGAAAGATTAAGTTAAAATCAAAATAGCAACATTTTCATTAAAAATTCTTTTTGAAGGATTTCCCCATACAATATTTAAGAGTAATATATCATTTTAAAGAAAAATCTTTACTCTTTAATTTGATATAAGAATCATTTCTTAATCTTCATAAATAAATGAAGTATGACTTTTTAAAGTTTACACAATTTCGTGATAGATTAAGTTAAAATCAAAGTTGCAACATTTTCATTAAAAATTCTTTTTGAAGGAATTCCCCATACAATATTTAATACTTATATATCATTTTAAAGAAAAATCTTTACTCTTTAATTTGATATAAGAATAATTTCTTAATCTTCATAAATAAATAAAGTATGACTTTTTAAAGTTTACACAATTTTGTGATAGATTAAATTAAAATCAAAATTCCAACATTTTCATTAAAAATTCTTTTTGAAGGATTTCCACCTACAATATTTAATACTTATATATCATTTTAAAGAGAAATCTTTGCTCTTCAATTTGGCATAAAAATCATGTCTTAATCTTCATAAATAAATGAGATATGACTTTTCAAAGTTGACACATTTTCATGATCGATTAAGAAAAAATCAAAATAGCAACATTTTCATTAAAAATTCTTTTTGAAATCTTATCCACATAAAATTTTTAATTGTTATACATCGTTCTAAATCCTATTAAAATCTTAATCTCCAAAACTAAGGTTGATTAAATTTTTGAAAGATGACAGTATTTTTTATTAAATTAAGTTTATTCCAGTAGAAAGCTCTTAATTACTCTTGAAGAATCTTTCTCGGTTTCTAACCCATTTAAATATTCTTTAATTACATTTTATACATTCATCTTAACAAAATTAAATGAAAGCTCGATTTTACATCTTTCTGTTTAAACTCTTCTTGGAGACTATGTTATGTAAATTTTCAGCGATTAATGCAGAAGGCGAACTTCGCCATAAGTTGTTTGGTCAGTTCCATCAACCAGCTGGTTATACCAACAGGTGAAATCTACAAGAGAACCTGCAGGCGAATGTTAACCTTTGGTGAAACTGATTTTCTACACCGTATAAGAATGTTTAAGTTATCTATTAGCAAGCAAAACACATATGGCACACTTTAATAAATCAAATCAAGAATTTTTTGGCGAGATTTTTAAGAAAAAAAATTTAACCGTTAATTCGAATGTTTAAGAAACTTGAAATCCTTGGTAAATTTAAGAATCGCTTTCAAAATAACCTACAAACTAATTAAAAGTTGTCTTTAAACAATATTTATCAACATGCAACCGACAAATAAATTACGTCAAGGTCGGTTCATTTAGATGACTCAATAAAGGCGGTACCATCTCTGACTTACATTCTTAACGTGGTTGTTCTATTGTTCGAAGACGTGCGTTTGGTAAAACGAAGAAGTCGGAGAATTTATCCCTGACCTTGCCGAGAGGAGCAGCACAATTGAAGGAGGAAAACAATACAACTTTTCGTTGCTTAAAAGATTGAATAGAATTGTTTTTTAAATCGTCATTGTAATTTTAGAACGGAGTTAATGTTTATAAACAGAACATGAAGAATACAAGGATACAGTCACTGCTATTTAAACTCAAAACTCAACCGATTATGATTGTTAAATTAAATTTGTTGGACTCGATTAAATTGTTGAATGTGATTAATTTGTAGATAAAAATGTTGTGATTAGGTAAAGCGTCGCTGAACATTTATAATTTGAATTAATAAAATAAAAAAATATCTCTTACTGTTATTTTTGTAATAAAATATAATCCAAAACTTTAGCACTATCTTCACTTATACACTACGCACATTATTAAATCGAAATATAAAATGTTGGGTGTTAAAAAGTTATGTTCCATACAATATGTAGGAACGTAAGTGGAGAACTGCGGCGGACAAGCGTCCAAGATTGTTGTAATAGGCTCCTGGTCGAGTTGAAAGCATTCTCTGAAGACCAATCGGACGCAGTCGCACCAGTCCTTAAGGAATGTGGATAGCTTGAACTCTACTACAAGTTCTCCATCGAGTACAGTTTATATCAGAAAATACATTTAGAGACACAATTACCTAAAAAAATCATTCTGTGATTATGATTTAACAAGAAAATAGATTTAGGTTAACCTAGATACCATAACAAAAAGAAGTAGTAATTAATTTTACGTAAATTTCGCACGTTATTAGCGTAACCAAGACTTCTTTGTTCTTCTCTTGGTATTTTTTAAAACAACAATAACATAGTAATAATAATAATGGGTTTGGTTTAAAGTTTAAAGAAAAGTAGAAAGATAATTTTTTTTAAACTTTGAAAGTAACACTTTCTTGGTAAATAATAATTGTTATTATAATAATACGGTTAGAAAATGCTTTATTTTTTAAGAAAAGAAAGTGTATATCTTTGCAAGATTTTATACTTGTAAATAGTTATTATGGAAAGTGACGTGCCATACAAATCGAAAGTAGAGCTAAGAACCCAAGATTTAATGGTATCTAGTGCAGAGAAAATTTCATTTAAGCGTTCTTCATCTCGATTGAAGAAATAAACAATTATAAAATAATTGAAGAATTATTTCTAAAGAAGTAGATCAAAAAAATTAGTTAAGGCAAAAATGGGTCAGAAAGAAAAGTATATCAACTTTAATTCTTATTAAGTTTAATCTTTAATTTCCGCCGATTACTAAAATTACCCAAAGATAGCCTAATTATTAAAATATCCACATCTTTCAGCATTTCCAAGAATTTCGACGAGATTTACTCGATTACTAAAAAGTTTACAAGAGACATTATCCCAAAGAGTTAGTGTAACTTTACAATGCATAGCATTAAAGGGGTAGTGCCGAGGTCGCTTGCGGCCGAGGCTCTAGAATTTAATCTATTACCGAGATTTTAACAAAGAGTAAAGACTCTATAATTTACAGTGTTAAAAAGATAGTGCCGAGGTCGCTTGCGACCGAGGCCCTAGAATTGACTCCATTATTGAGATATAAACAGAAACTCCATAATTTACAGTGTTAAAAAGATTGTGCCGAGGTCGCTTGCGGCCGAGGCCCTGAAATGTACTCTATAAACGAGATATTAACCGAGATTCTATAATTTGCAGTGTTAAAGAGATAGTGCCGAGGTCGCTTGCGGCCGAGGCTCTAGAATTTAATCTATTAGCGAGATTTTAACAAAGACTCTATAATTTACAGTGTTAAAAAGATAGTGCCGAGGTCGCTTGCGGCCGAGGCCCTAGAATTGACTCCATTATCGAGATATTAACAGAACTCCATAATTTATAGTGTTAAAAAGATTGTGCCGAGGTTGCTTGCCGCCGAGGACCTGAAATGTACTCTATAAACGAGATATTAACCGAGATTCTATAATTTGCAGTGTTAAAGAGATAGTGCCGATGTCGCTTGCGGCCGAGGCTCTAGAATTTAATCCATTACCGAGATTTTAACAAAGACTCTATAATTTACAGTGTTAAAAAGATAGTGCCGAGGTCGCTTGCGGCCGAGGCCCTGGAATCTACTCTATAAACGAGATATTAACCTAGACTGTATAATTTGCAGTGTTAAAGCGATAGTGCCAAGGTCGCTTGCGGCCGAGGCCCTGGAATTTACTCCATTACCGAGATATTAATAGAGACTCTATAATTTATAGTGTTAAAAAGATAGTGCCGAGGTCGCTTGCGACCGAGGCCCTAGAATTGACTCCATTATCGAGATATTAACAGAAACTCTATAATTTCAAAGATTGTGCCGAGGTTGCTTGCGGCCGAGGCCCTGAAATGTACTCTATAAACGAGATATTAACCGAGATTCTATAATTTGCAGTGTTAAAGAGATAGTGGTCGAGGTCGCTTGCGGCCGAGACCCTGGAATCTGTTCTAATTCTATTGAAGACATATGCGAAACTTTACAATGTATAGCGTTAAAGGGGTAATGCCTAGGTAGCTTGCGGCCGAGGCCCTAGAATTGACTCCATTACCGAGATATTAACAGAAACTCCATAATTTACAGTGTTAAAAAGATAGTGCCGAGGTCGCTTGCGGCCGAGGCCTGAAATCTACTCTATAAACGAGCTATTAACCGAGATTCTATAGTTTGCAGTGTTAAAGAGATAGTGCCGAGGTCGCTTGCGGCCGAGGCCCTGGAATTTACTCCATTGCCGAGATATTAATAGAGACTCCATAATTTATAGTGTTAAAAAGATAGTGCCGAAGTCGCTTGCGGCCGAGGCCCTCGAATTGAGTCCATTATCGAGATATTAACAGAAACTCTGTAATTTACAGTGTTAAAAAGATTGTGCCGAGGTTGCTTGCCGCCGAGGCCCTGAAATGTACTCTATAAATGAGATATTAACCGAGATTCTATAATTTGCAATGTTAAAGAGATAGTGCCGAGGTCGCTTGCGGCCGAGGCTCTAGAATTAAATCCTTTACCGAGATTTTAAGAAAGACTATAATTTACTGTGTTAAAAAGAGAGTGCCGAGGTCGCTTCCGGCTCCGGCCCTGGAATCTACTCTATAAACGAGATATTAACCTAGACTCTATAATTTGCAGTGTTAAAGCGATAGTGCCAAGGTCGCTTGCGGCCGAGACCCTGGAATTTATTCCATTGCCGAGATATTAACAGAAACTCCATAGTTTACAATGTTAAAAAGATTGTGCCGAGGTCGCTTGCGGCCGAGGCCCTGAAATCTATTCTATAAACGAGATATTAACTGAGATTCTACAATTTGCAGTATTAAAAAGATAGTGCCGAGGTCGCTTGCGGCCGAGGCTCTAGAATTTAATTCATTACCGAGATATTAAGAGAGACTTTATAATTTGCAATGTTAAAAAAATAGTGCCGAGGTCGCTTGCGGCCGAGACCCTGAAATGTACTCTATAAACGAGATATTAACCGAGATTCTATAATTTGCAGTGTTAAAGAGATAGTGTCGAGGTCGCTTGCGGCCGAGGTTCTAGAATTAAATCCTTTACCGAGATTTTAACAAAGACTCTATAATTTGCAGTGTTAAAGCGATAGTGCCAAGGTCGCTTGCGACCGAGGCCCTGGAATTTACTCCAATGCCGAGATATTAATAGAGACTCTATAATTTCTAGTGTTAAAAAGATGGTGCCGAGGTCGCTAGCGGCCGAGGCTCTAGAATTTAATCCATTACCGATATTTTAATAGAGACTCTATAATTTACAGTTTTAAAAAGATAGTACCAAAGTCGCTTGCGGCCGAAGCCCTGAAATTTACTCTATAAACGAGATATTAACCGAGATTCTATAATTTGCAGTGTTAAAAAGATAGTGTCGAGGTCGCTTGTGGCCGAGGCCTTGGAATCTACTTCATTACCGAAATATTATCCGAGACTCTATAAGTTACAGTATTAAAGAGATAGTTGCAGCTGTGTATTGTAGTCCACTTCATTAAACAGATATTAACCGAGACTCTACAATTTGCAGAGTTAAAGAGATAGTGCGAGGTCGTTTGATACCAAGGAACAACAATCAACTCCATTGAAGAGGTATTAACTGAGATACCACATTGTTTAAGATTACTCAAGGTGTTCTAATCATTGCCAAAATGTTCAAGAGTTTCTAATGAGGTATAAACATAATTAAATAATTCTGCATTGTATTCGGTTAGGTTGAGTTGGCTTACTTTGGAGATGGATTACTTCGAGGTTGAGTTGCTTCGGGGTGCAGTCGCTTTGGGATTGAGATACTTTAACTAGGATTAGCTTACTGCCGAAATGGATTAAATTGTTTCTTCTGAGTTGGTCTGCTTTTGGATTAGAAGCATGCAGTAGAATTGAAAAGTCATCAACTTCAAAGCAACGCATCTAGTCCTAAAGCAACCCATCGTCAAAGGAACCCAACCTCGAATCAATGATTTAAGATAAAAAATAATCTTGGGTAATCTTAGTAATTCCTAAAAAATTTTTGGAAATTATTTAAAACATGGAAATTATTAGAAATCTTATTCAATCTTTGTAGTAATTATATGAAAATCATTAAAAATCGTCTAGATATCCTTATTCAAGCTTTTAACCTTAGGTTGGCTTTTTAAGATTAGCCAGGAAATTCTAATTATTAAAATATCCAGATGTTTCCAAGGATATTTAAATGATTTTCAATGATTTTCATAGAATTATTACAAACATTGAATGAGATTTACCCAAGATTATTTATTATTTTAGCGTTAACACTAACCTATCGCAAAGTTCCAAGAAGAAGATTCCAAGAATTTTTAAGGAATTGTTTCGAGGTTGAGTTTCTTTGATGATGTATTGCTTTGGAGCTAGATTACTTTGACGTTGCGTTGCTTTCAAGTTGAGTTACTTTACGATTGAGTTGGATTGGCTTAGTTTTAATATTGGAATACTTCAGAGTTGTGTTGCTTTGTCATTAGGTTACTTTAAGGTTGGGACGCTTTTAATTTTAAAATTGTCAATATGGTCAATGGTTTTCTATTTTGTCAAAGCTTTGAAACTTTTGAAGAGACTCCCTTTTAATTTTATTGTATTGTTTTATCTTTTCCCAATATTGTGGAGAAGTTTCTAATCGATTAAAATCATTTTGACACACACCAATAAAATCGTTCTGTTCCATGCCAACAAAAAAATTTTTCTGCAAAAATTTCAAATAAATTCTTTAGTTTAATCGTTTCGTATAGCGTAAATAATCATGTAAAAAATTTTTGTTACAACAAAAAAATTAAATAAATTAATTATCTTAATCCTTGAATACATCCATATATAGATAAATTAACTTAACACATTCTTATAGATAAAACGGGATTTCGCTATGAAACGGTGCATAACCATCGAGTATTGAGAACGTTAAGGTCATAGGAGCAGAGACACGATTAAAATAGCTTGGTGTTGGCATCATTCGTGTTTTACTTGGTTGTCTTTGGTATGAGTGACACAAAGTAAAACATAACATCGGTCAGGTCATGTAACTGTAAATTCGATTTTACCATTTACAACAAATACTATTATTATAGCATTCATACCACATCTGAACATAATAGGTGTTAATTAAAATTTTTTGCATCACTTTTTAGCGATCTAATGAAATTATGGCGTGAATAAATTCTTTTCTTATGTAATTTAAATCGATTACAATTAAAATTTCTAACCGCGAAGAGTTAGTCGTGCAAAAGAATCGTAATGCCCGTACAAGGCAGTGAAAGTTTAAGGATAACGAACGTTCAAGAATTTTTTTTTGCACAATCGATAAAACTAATTTACATCGAATAACAATTAAATTGCAACAATTTAAATTAATTTAAGGTGAGTTATTATTATTACCTTAGAATCTAATTTATTTAATTATGCATTCATAACTTTGCATAGCCTCCAAATTATTACAAAACTAACAAATAGAGCTTGTTTACATTTTGCTCGGTTCCTTGACCGCGTTCTGATTGATTTGTTACGTGCAAGAACCTTTCACGTTAGAACTTTCTAATGATAATATATTACAGATTGAGCCTCTTCGAATCAAAATGAACATATTTAATGTTTAAAAAAATCGCATGCTAGAAAATTCAACCGGACGTTAAATTACATCTACGCTTGTCCGGCTTTAATGTAAAATGTCCCGTTGCGTTTCTGCAATCAGTCATTTATTTGTGCTTGGTTTCACACAGTTAGAATTTCTCACATGATAGAATTTGATTGACAGGTAATTTAAGTTGTTTTATTTAAAGTTTAGCGCCAAAAATATCAATTTCTTTTTTAATAAATTGGTTAAGTTTTGAATGGGCTTCTTGATAATAAGGACTCGCTTCTTTTTGAACTCTTTGCATCCAATCCTTTAATTTTTGATGATTCATTGTTGGATCAAATCCAGCCATTCCTATAATAGTTATTTATATTACAAGTGGGCTAAAAACATAATTACAGTACGAGTGTGGAGTAATCACACGAGTACTGTAATTATGCTCTAGCCCAAGTGTGATATACATCATTTTATCTACGACTGCTAAAAATTACTAAAAAATCAATTTCTTTAGAAAAGTCTATTTGACATTTATAAAAATATTTTGAAATGATTGTTGACAATTTTGTATTGTCAGTTTCGACAACATGTTTATTCATCTGGAACATGGGGGGGGATCTCAAATGAATGAAAATTGTAACCGTGGTCAACGCCATCCGATGTCACCGTCGATAACTAATTCTACACAAATTCAAATTTAAACAACCTTTAAGGCAGCTTATATTTCATTTCTTTTTTTTGTATTCATCTTTGATTAATTAAGTCAAATTAAGTGATGTCAAATATAAATGATATTGATAAATCAGTTAATTTTTTTAATAANCAGTGCGGTAATGAACTTCATTACGTAACTCAAATGAGTGCGGTAATGATGACTTATCCAAGCAATCGTAGATAAAAAAATTTATTAAATTAATTTTATTAATACTTAATACTTACTTAATTGTTCGATTTCACAAGCAGCCCAAATATCAGCTGCTGTAAGATGATCTCCATTAATAAAAGGACCAGGGGTTAACCATAATCTTTCAATTTCACCCAAACATTTCTCAACGTTCCCTTCTAACGCTTCTAAACGATTTCGTGGAACTTCCTTTCCAAACAATTTAGGAAATAAGAACTATAAAAAAAGAACGTTTCTTTTTGTCTAATTTAAAGAGATTATTATTTACAGCTTTTTGGAAATAAGTTGCGCAAAATAATCGTGTGTTTAAATGTTGCCATTCTAAATATTCGTCGATTCTTGCTTGGGCTTGAGGATCGTCTGAGTACCAATTTGTTGGTAATTGTCTGGTTCGAGATAAATATCTTAAAATAGCGATGCTAAAAAAATATTTAATTTAATTGAAACAAATTATTTTTTTTTTTAATTTTACCTCTCGCTTAAATTGAAATCGTCGTCGGAAATAGCTGGAACTTTTTTTGATTTATTTAATTTGGCGAATTTTTCGGTTAAATGCTGACCTAAAAGTTTGCACATCATTAATTTAATTAACTTAATTAAATATTGTAAATTTTACCTTGACCGATCAGCACTTCAACCGGTTCAAAAGGAATATTATTTCCTTTTAGAATAATGTATATCGCTCTGGATGGTTGTGATAAAAAATCAAAATAAAGTTTGAGTACCATCTTTTACAACGTTTAATCTGAGAGTGACAAACAAAAATTTAAGTGGTTGTTGTAGGCTCAGTATCTGTTTTTATAGAGCGATTAAAAAGTACAAACTCAACAAAATTCGTGTATATTAATGTTTCGAAAACACTCTATTTTTAAATTTTATATCTACAAAGTGTAAGATCATGTGTTGACAAATATACAATAAATTTAAAACATTTTCCACTTCAAATTTTAGTATTTTCGAAATATATGCAACCCAATTATTTATTGGATATAATTCATAAATACGATTTTCGTGAAAATTCATAAATATAAATCGTATCTCAAAAACGAAATGAGATATCATCCTGAAACAAAAAACATTTTAAAGTAGATTTAATGAAGATTAAAGGTGCCATAAATAATTTCTTATTTCCCATAAGCAGCATGGTTATGATATTTTATTCAATCTCTGCATGTTTGATTATTATAGATTCTAAAAAAATCGTATCACAAAAACGAATTGAGATACCACCATGAAATAAAAAACATTTTAAAGGAAATTTCATAAAGATTTAATGTGCCATAAATAGTTTCTTATTTCCCATAAGCAGGGTTGTTATGATTTTTTTAATCAAAGTCTGCATATTTGATTATTTTAGATTTGAAATGTAGATATTTTAAAAAATCGTATCTCAAAAACGAATTGAAATATGATTATGAAATTAAGATAATTTTAAAGCAAATTTCGTGTAGATTTAATGTGCCATAAATAATTTCTTATTTCTCATAAGCAGCGTTGTTATGATTTTTTTATTCAACCTCTGCATATTTGTATTTTATAGATTTTAAAAAAATCGTATCTCAAAAACGAATAGAGATATCACCATGAAATAAAGTACATTTTAAAGCAAATTTCATGAAGATTTAATGTGCCACAAATAATTTCTTGTTTTTCATAAGCAGCATTGTTATCATTTTTTAAGTCAACCTCAGCATGTTTGATTGTCATAAATTTTTAAAAAGTCGTATCTCAAAAACGAATTAAGATATCATCATAAAATAAAGAATATTTTAAAGCAAATTTTATGAAGATTTCATGTGCCATAAATAATTTCTTATTTTCCATAAGCAGCGTTGTTATGATTTTTTTATTCAATCTCTGCATGCTTGATTGTTATAGATTTTTAAAAAATCGTATCTCAAAAACGAATTGAGATATCATCATGAAATAAAGATCATTTTAAAGGAAATTTCATAAAGATTTAATGTGCCATAAATAATTTCTTATTTTCTATAAGCAGCGTTGTTATCATTTTTTAAGTCAACCTCACCATGTTTGATTATCACAAATTTTTAAAAAGTCGTATCTCAAAAACGAATTAAGATATCATCATAAAATAAAGAAAATATTAAAGCAAATCTTATAAAGATTTAATGTGCCATAAATAGTTTCTTATTTCCCATAAGCAGCGTTGTTATGATTTTTTTATTCAACCTCTGCGTATTTGTATTTTATAGATTTTTAAAAAATCGTATCTCAAAAACGAATAGAGATATCACCATGAAATAAAGAACATTTTAAAGTAGATTTAATGAAAATTTAATGTGGCATAAATAACATCTTATTTCCCATAAGCAGCGTTGTTATGATTTTTTATTCAATCTCTGCATGTTTGATTATTATAGATTCTAAAAAAATCGTATCTCAAAAACGAACTGAGATATCATCATGAAATAAAGATCATTTTAAAGGAAATTTCATAAAGATTGAATGTGCCATAAATAGTTTTTTATTTCCCATAAGCAGCGTTGTTATGATTTTTTTATTCAACCTCTGCGTATTTGTATTTTATAGATTTTTAAAAAATCGTATCTCAAAAACGACTAGAGAAATCACCATGAAATAAAGAGCATTTTAAAGCAAATTTCATGTAGATTTAATGTGCCATAAATAATTTCTTATTTTCTATAAGCAGCGTTGTTATCATTTTTTAAATCAACCTCAGCATGTTTGATTATCATAAATTTTTAAAAAGTCGTATCTCAAAAACGAATTAAGATATCATCATAAAATAAAGAACATTTTAAAGCAAATTTTATGAAGATTTCATGTCCCATAAATAATTTCCTATTTTCCATAAGCAGCGTTGTTATGATTTTTTTATTCAATCTCTGCATGTTTGATTGTTATAGATTTTTAAAAAATCGTATCTCAAAAACGAATTGAGATATCATCATGAAATAAAGATCATTTTAAAGGAAATTTCATAAAGATTTAATGTGCCGTAAATAGTTTCTTATTTCCCATAAGCAGGGTTGTTATGATTTTTTTAATCAAAGTCTGCATGTTTGATTATTTTAGATTTGAAATGTAGATATTTTAAAAAATCGTATCTCAAAAACGAATTGAGATATGATTATGAAATTAAGATAATTTTAAAGCAAATTTCGTCTAGATTTAATGTGCCATGAATAATTTCTTATTACCCATAAGTACCGTTGTTATGATTTTTTTATTCAACCTCTGCTTATTTGTATTTTATAGATTTTTAAAAAATCGTATCTGAAAAACGAATTAAGATATCATCATGAAATAAAGTGCATTTTAAAGCAAATTCCATGAAGATTTAATGTGCCATAAATAATTTCTTGTTTTTCATAAGCAGCGTTGTTATCATTTTTTAAATCAACCTCAGCATGTTTGATTATCATTAATGTTTAAAAAGCGTATCTCAAAAATGAATTGAGATATCATCATGAAATGAAGAACATTTTAAAGCAAATTTCATGAAGATTTAATGTGCCACAAATAATTTCTTGTTTTTCATAAGCAGCGCTATTATGATTTTTTTATTCAACTTCTGCATGTTTGATTATCATAGATTTTTTAAAAATCGTATCTCAAAAACGAATTGAGATATCATCATGAAATAAAGATCATTTTAAAGGAAATTTCATAAAGATTGAATGTGCCATAAATAGTTTTTTATTTCCCATAAGCAGCGTTGTTATGATTTTTTTATTCAACCTCTGCGTATTTGTATTTTATAGATTTTTAAAAAATCGTATCTCAAAAACGACTAGAGAAATCACCATGAAATAAAGAGCATTTTAAAGCAAATTTCATGTAGATTTAATGTGCCATAAATAATTTCTTATTTTCTATAAGCAGCGTTGTTATCATTTTTTAAATCAACCTCACCATGTTTGATTATCACAAATTTTTAAAAAGTCGTATCTCAAAAACGAATTAAGATATCATCATAAAATAAAGAACATATTAAAGCAAATTTTATGAAGATTTAATGCGCCATAAATAATTTCTTATTTCTCATAAGCAGCGCTGTTATGATTTTTTTATTCAACTTCTGCATGTTTGATTATCATAGATTTTTAAAAAATCGTATCTCAAAAACGAATTGAGATATCACCATGAAATAAAGAGCATTTTAAAGCAAATTTCATGTAGATTTAATGTGCCATAAATAATTTCTTATTTTCTATAAGCAGCGTTGTTATCATTTTTTAAATCAACCTCACCATGTTTGATTATCACAAATTTTTAAAAAGTCGTATCTCAAAAACGAATTAAGATATCATCATAAAATAAAGAAAATATTAAAGCAAATCTTATAAAGATTTAATGTGCCATAAATAGTTTCTTATTTCCCATAAGCAGCGTTGTTATGATTTTTTTATTCAACCTTTGCATGTTTGATTATTATAAATTTTGAAAAAATCGTATCTCAATAATGCATTGAGATATCATCATGAAATAAAAAACATTTTAAAGCAAATTTCATGTAGATTTAATATGCCGTAAATAATTTCTTATTTTCCATAAACAGCGTTGTTATGATTTTTTTATTCAACCTCTACATGTTTGATTATTATAGATTTTTTTTAAATGGTATCACAAAAACGAATTGAGATATTATCATGAAATAAAGATCATTTTAAAGGAAATTTCATGATGATTTAATGTGCCATAAATAATTTCTTATTTCCCATAAGCAGCATTGTTATGATTTTTTTTATTCAACCTATGCATGTTTGATTGTTATAGTTTTTTTAAAAGTCGTATCTCAAAAATGAATTAAGATATCATCATGATATAAAGTACATTTTAAAGCAAATTTCATCAAGATTTAATATGCCATAAATAATTTCTTGTTTTTTTATAACCAGCGTTGTTATCATTTTTTAAATCAACCTCAGCATATTTGATGTCATAGATTTTTAAAAAATCGTATCTCAAAGACGAATTGAGATATCATCATGAAATAATGTACATTTTAAAGCAAATTTCATGTCGATTGAATGTGCCATAAATAATTTCTTATTTTTCATAAGCAGCGTTGTTATGATTTTTTAAATCAACATCTGCATGTTTGATTATTATAGATTTAAATCTACATTTTAAAAAAATCATATCTCAAAAACGAATTGAGATATCATCATAAAATAAAAAACATATTAAAGCAAATTTCATGAAGATTTAATGTGCCATAAATAATTTCTTATTTCCCATAAGCAGCGTTGTTATGATTTTTTTATTCAACCTCTGCATGTTTGATTATTATAAATTTTGAAAAAATCATGTCTCAAAAACGAATTGAGATATCATCACTAAATAAAGAACATTTTAAAGCCAATTTTATGTAGATTTAATGTACCATAAATAATTTCTTATTTCCCATAAGCAGCGTTGTTATGATTTTTTAAATCCAACTCTGCATGTTAGATTATTATAGATTTGAAACACAGATTAAGCTTTGTTGTTTTGAACACTTCGATTAAATCAAGAAAACACGTTCTTAAAGAATTCCATTACATAACAAACGTGCTCATATGTAAATTAAATTTTTAAATAAGCATATAGTAGTACAACCAAGGTTAAATGTATCAAATACTGCACTTAATTTAGTTATATAACATAAATACCGTTACATACTTAAAATGTAATAAATACTATAACGAAGGATAATACACAGTTAGATTACTTTTTCTTCTTGCTCCATTAACATAAATAAATTTATTCAAAGTCATTTACAATAATCATGTTTTGATGATAAAAACGTATATTAAGATAAAATAAATCGTCGATCATTGCAATAATAAAATAAATGAACTTCTCATCACAACAAGTTAAGAGGTTAATAAATACTAAAAGAAAATAGGAAATTTATCAGTGTTTGATGTAAAACAGCACAAAGTGGTGCAAAATGTTTCTAATAATTTTTGTTATAACATCACTAATTTTGATCTATATAAAATTAACAAACCTTTATTCGACATGGACTAAAAAAGGGATAAAACAAACGAAACCTTTATTTCTACTTGGAGATAATGCCGGAACAATTTTAGGTTCTCAGTCTGTGTACGATTCGATGAAAAATCTTTATAATTCATTTCCAAATGAGAGGTAAATCCAATTTTATTTAAAATTAACTTTATTTATTTGATTTTTTAGATATTTTGGAATGTATCAATTAACTTTACCGACCATACAAGTTAATGATCCAGATTTAATAAAAACTATAGCAATAAAAGATTTTGATCATTTTGTAAATCACCGACAATTTTTACCAGGCGGTGTTGAACCAATGTGGACAAAAAATTTACTTTCAATGCAAAATTCTGATTGGAAACACATGAGAACAACATTAACCCCATCGTTTACTTCGAATAAAATGAAAAGTATTTTCAATTTAATCTCAGAGGTTTCACAAAACTACGTTGAACATTTTAAAATTAATAAACATATTAACGAGATTGAATTAAAAAATTTCTCCACAAGATACACAAACGATGTGATTGCTAGTGTTGCTTTCGGAATTCAATGTGATTCTCTTAAGTATCCTGAAAATGATTTCTTTGTGGCTGCATCGAATATCACCAATGGGAAAGGATTAAGATTGTTTGCGTTTCTTGGGTACATCATATTTCCTAGATTATTTAAAATGCTAAATATACCAGCATTTTCACGTTCGGCAACGAATTTCTTAAAAAATGCTGTTTTAGAAACCATTAAAACACGAGAAAAACATAACATAGTTCGTCCGGATATGATCCATCTTTTAATGGAAATGAAAAACGATTCCAAATCAACTCAAATTGGATTTAGCGATGAAGATATTGCAGCACAAGCTTTTATTTTTTATTTAGGCGGTTTTGAAACCGTGTCAGCCACAATCTTTTTACTCGGTCATTGTTTAAGCACTCATCCAAACGTACAAAGAAAACTCCAAAAAGAAATTGATGATACCTTAAAAGATTGTAATGGAAAATTAACTTATGAGGCTTTATTAAAAATGAAATACTTAGATATGGTTATTTCGGAAACGCTAAGAATGTGGCCTTCACTCCCAAATACAGATAGAGTGTGTACCAAACCGTACACTTTACCTCCAAGCAACGAAAAAGGTAAACCTTTAGATATTTATCCAGGACAACCGATAATTTTTCCAATAATGGCGATGCATTACGATCCTAAATACTTTCCAAATCCGAATGAGTGGGACCCTGAAAGATTTAGCGATGAAAATAGAGAAAAAATCCATCCCTACGCTTATTTACCTTTCGGAATAGGACCAAGAAATTGTATCGGATCAAGATTAGCTCAACTGGAAATAAAAATTTTTTATTTTAACCTTTTATCACAATTTAACCTGGTAAAAACGGATAAAACTGTAATACCTTTACAATTACACAAAAGATCGTTTAATATGAATACACAACATGATATTTGGGTTGGTGTTAAAGAAAGAATTTAATTGGAAATTTGAATTTTTTAAATAAGCTCCATCTGTTAATGAAAAGCATAAACAAAAATTAAATTAAATTTATTTAGATTTATTGAATTATAAATTATAAATGATTATAAAATAAATATTAAATTTAAAACCATTTTTTTCTTAATATTTAAAAATAAATGATTTTTTTTTAATTATTTTAAATTAACTTTGAATACCACGTGGTGTGGTGTTTATCTGTCAATTTAGCTGTCACATTTATGTCAAATATCAGCTGATTCGGATTTCTTCGTTTTTATGTCATAATCTTTCGCTCGTTGAAGTGGGAAATTAAAATTTCAAGTTAGAAAAAAATTGTGTTAACAAAAATTGTTCCTGAAACAATTCTAAACAATCTTTGTCAACATTCTTTTTTTGATTTAATCAATAATTAACGAGATAACCTCAAAATAATAATTTTTCCGTTTTTATACATAATTATACATAGATGCTTAATTAATAGAGATGTAAAAATTTTTTATTAAGATAATTGATTCAAAATCGAAATTGCAACAAATTTTATTTAAAACATTTTTTGATAAAAACAATAATTATTGAGATAATTAATTTTGATAGCATACTATTCAGAGGGAAATTAAAATTTCAAGTTAGCAAAAAATTGTATTAACAAACACTGTTCCTGAAGTAATTCTAAACAAATTTTGTTAACAACATTTTTTGATTAAATCAACAATAAGGATATAACCTCAAAAATATTAATTTTTGTAGCATACTGTTCAGTGGGAAATTAAAATTTCAAGTTAGAAAAAAATTGTGTTAACAAAAATTGTTCCTGAAACAATTCTAAACAAACTTTGTCAACAATTTTTTTTGATTTAATCAATAATTAAGGAGATAACCTCAAAATAATAATTTTTCCATTTTTATACATAATTACACTTAGATGCTTAATTAATAGAGATGTAAAATTTTTTTATTAAGATAATTGATTCAAAATCGAAATTGAAACAAATTTTATTTAAAACATTTTTTGATAAAAACAATAATTATTGAGATAATTAATTTTGATAGCATACTATTCAGAGGGAAATTAAAATTTTAAGTTAGCAAAAAATTTTATTAACAAACATTGTTCCTGAAGTAATTCTAAATAAATATTGTTAATAAAAATTTTTGATTTCATCGTTTAAGGTCATCCAGTTTGATTTTATTCTCCCTTATATATAATTATAATTTATTTAAATTTTTAAATAAGCTCCATCTGTTAATGAAAAGCATAAACAAAAATTAAATTAAATTTATTTAGATTTATTGAATTATAAATTTTAAATAATAAAACAAATATAAAATTTAAAACAATTTTTTATTTTAATATTTAAAAATAAATAATTTTTTTAAATTATTTTAATATTTTAAATTAGTTTAGAATACCACGTGGTGTTTATCTGTCAATTTAGCTGTCACATTTATGTCAAATATCAGCTGATTCGGATTTCTTCGTTTTCATGTCATAATTGTCCTTCAAATGACTAAAAATTTCCGACTTCTTATCTAAAGTCTGCATGATAATGTTATTCCAAGTCGCATATATGCGCAGTTTTAGTCTACCTATTTAACAGTCAACTCCTAAGCGTTCATTAACTTGTTTATCGTTGAATTATTTTATTTTCTCCTATCACACAAACAACAATGAATTAACTTAATATAATTAAAGCGTATTAGGTACGTATTAAAATTTAAATTATGTTTAATATTTTGCATAATCAGCGTTTCTTATCTTTAAGTACAAAGGCTAAATTTATAAATTAAATTATATTTGGACGTTGTTTTAGTAAGATAAATGTGTCTTGGCTGTTAGTTAATGTTTGAATTATAAAAGAGGTTCAATTACAAGTAAAATGGGTGAACAAGGAACGGATTATTCATCAGATAATTGTAATAGTGAAGGAGACCATTTGCCATCTGTTTTGAGTTTGAACAATAAACAATTAGACACAACAAGATTGGAGGAATATTTAGAAGAAATAGTGGTTAATGAGCCGGAAAATGTGCGAAAAATCGAAGTTTTAAAAGCAACAAATAATTTACTTAGATCTGTACCAAAGAATATTAATCATTTCACAAGTTTGCGAAAATTAGATATAAGCGATAATCGGATTACTTATTTACCCGATGTTTTTAAACATTTACCTTTAACTTCTTTGATTGCAAGAGGAAATTTATTAACTAATAACTCATTACCTAAAGTTTTTACATCGAGTAAATGGGTGAGAGAAATTAATTTTACTTCAAATTTATTTACTGGATTTCCTGAACAAATTTTGGTTTTTAAAAATTTAAGATATTTATATTTAGGTTCAAATAAAATTTGTTCTGTTCCAAATGCTATATCAAAACTTACTAAGTAAGTATATTTTAAAATTATTAAATTAAATTAACCAATTTTTGATTAGTTTAAGGCTGTTACATATTTACAACAATTTAGTAGAATCAATTCCTGAAAGTATAGCTAATTTAAAACATTTAAAAGCTTTAAGATTGCACGACAACAACTTAAAAACGTTACCAAGGGATATAGTAACATTGGACAATTTATTATATGTAAAAAAATTAAATAAATTAAATTTTTTTATTAAAAAATGTTTAAAATACTTTTTTAGTTAAGTTTACGAGATAATCCATTAGTAAATCGATTTATATCAGATATGACACACCAACCAACTAGCTTAATGGAATTATCAGCACGAGCTGTTAAATTGTTTAACATTCCAGTCCAAGAAGGTGAAATTCCAGCTACATTATCAGAATATTTGAGTACAGCTCATCGATGTGTTAACCCAAGATGCAGAGGTTTTCATTTCACTTAAAATCCAATTTAATTGTTTAATTAATTTTTAATTTGTAGGTGTATTTTTTAACAAACGCGTTGAGCATGTAAAATTCGTCGATTTTTGTGGGAAATACAAAATACCCTTATTGCAATATTTATGTTCGTCGAAATGTATAGAAGGCGAAGAAAATGGTTTGGAATTAACAAGTAATTCTGATATGATGAGAAAAGTGCTTTTGGGATGAATCAATTTCTAATATTTTTTTATTATGTGTAAATACAGGAAGGGGAAAAGTAATAATTACATTTTTTTTATGGCTATTAATATATAAAATATTAATTTATTTGTTTGTTTTTATATCCAATCTAAAAATTGAAATTCAATGAATGTTTTCAAAACAAGATAAATTTTGTTTATGTTTTAGTTATCNAGAAGGTGAAATTCCAGCTACATTATCAGAATATTTGAGTACAGCTCATCGATGTGTTAACCCAAGATGCAGAGGTTTTCATTTCACTTAAAATCCAATTTAATTGTTTAATTAATTTTTAATTTGTAGGTGTATTTTTTAACAAACGCGTTGAGCATGTAAAATTCGTCGATTTTTGTGGGAAATACAAAATACCCTTATTGCAATATTTATGTTCGTCGAAATGTATAGAAGGCGAAGAAAATGGTTTGGAATTAACAAGTAATTCTGATATGATGAGAAAAGTGCTTTTGGGATGAATCAATTTCTAATATTTTTTTATTATGTGTAAATACAGGAAGGGGAAAAGTAATAATTACATTTTTTTTATGGTTATTAATATATAAAATATTAATTTATTTGTTTGTTTTTATATCCAATCTAAAAATTGAAATTCAATGAATGTTTTCAAAACAAGATAAATTTTGTTTATGTTTTAGTTTATCATAATTATGTTTATCACTTCCACTGGAGTCACTAATCTATATATTGTGATTCTAGACCTCTTCTCATCTCTGAAATGTAAACAATGTCATTTCACACTTTGAGATAGAGTTTAAATGATGAATCTATTTTTTGCAAAGCAATATCAACTCTTTCATGGTAATATCTAGTCCTCTACCAGTTTTATATCATCTTTTGTGAGCATTATTGTTGCAATATTCACATCTTGTTGTTCACTAGCACTAAGCTATCTCAAGCAGTCTTTACTCTTCCATTAATAGTAATAGTCCTCTATCAGCAATATTTTATCTTCTGCCAGCAGTATCTAGCTTTCTATGAGGTTACAAGCATTATTTTTTTGTCAACAAACACTAAGTGATTTTCTGAAAGCAATCACTACTCTTCCATTAATAGTATTTAGCCCTCTATTAACAATGTCAAGTCTTCTGCCGGCAGTGTGAGGCTTTCTATGAAAATCTAAACCTCTACAAACATCTATATACTGTGATTCTAAACCTCTTCTCATGTCTGAAATGTATACAATGCCATTTCACACATTGAGATAGAGTTAAAATGATGAATTAATAAACCTCAATTTGTAGTGTGAGCAGTGCAATTCGAATTTTTCTTATAATTTAGAGATTGATTCGAATCAAACAAAATACCTAATCCTTTTTCGACATTATCTAAATCTATTTAAGAAACAAAATATTGTTAGTGATGCAAATGTTTACTAGACATACTCAAAGCGTTTTTGACTCTTCATTTCAAATGTATATCCATAGTAAGCAGTACCTAGTCTTTTGGCTGGAGTAACTAGTCTTCAGCAAGCAATATCTAATCTTCTATAAGCACCAAGTCATTTTTTACGACCAATATCAACTCTTTCATGGCAGTATCTAGTCCCCTACCAGCTATATCTCATCTTTTGCGAACAATATCTAGCTTTCTGTGAGGATACAAGCAATATCTTGTTGATCACTAACATTAATCTGTCTGCTGCAAGCAGTACTCTTCCATTGATAGTATTTAGTCCTCCACCAGCATTTTTTATCTTCTGCCAGCAATGTCTAGTTTTCTATGAGGATACAAGCAGTATTTTGTTGTCAATAAGCACTAACTGATTTTCTGAAAGCAGTCACCATTCTTCCATTCATAGTATTTAGCCCTCTATCAACAATATCAAATCTTCTGCCGGCAGTATGGGGCTTTCTATAAAAATCTAAGCTTCTACAAGGACCAAGTGACCTTCTGTAAGCAGTATCTACTCTTCCATTGATAGTATTTAGTCTTCTACCAGCAGTATCTAGCTTTCTATGACGATACAAGCAGTATTTTGTTGTCCACAAGCACTAAGTAATCTTCTGCAAGCAGCATCTATTCGTCCATTGATAGTATTTAGTTCTCTACCAGCAACATTTTATATTCTGCTAGCAGTATCTAGCTTTTTATGACGATACAAGTATTATCTTGTTGTCCACAAACACTAAATGATCTTCTGCAAGCAGTCGCTGCTCTTCTATTGATAGTATTCAGTCCTGTACCAGCAAGTCTCTGTACCAGCATCTAGTTTTAGTAATCTTCTGCAAGCAGCATCTATTCTTCCATTGATAGTATTTAGTTCTCTACCAGCAACATTTTATATTCTGCTCGCAGTATCTAGCTTTTTATGACGATACAAGTATTATCTTGTTGTCCACAAACACTAAGTAATCTTCTGCAAGCAGTCGCTGTTCTTCTATTGATAGTATTCAGTCCTGTACCAGCATCTAGTTTTCTGCCAGCAGTATGGAGCTTTCTATCCAAACTTCCACAAGCACTAAATGATCTTTTGCAAGCAATATCTGCTTTTCTATTGGTAGTATCTAGTTGTCTTTTCTATATCAATCGATTTGGAAACATGGTACGCAGCAAATTCATTATTAATCGAACAGTATGGCATGTTACATCATCTTGCTGGAACCAGTAATCTTAACTAGTAGCATCTACTCTTACATTGGTAGTATCTACTACTCTGTCAGTAATATCTAGCACAATGAATGAATGAATGTCAACAAGCACTAACTGATTTTCTGAACGCAGCATGGTGCTTTTTATGAAAATCTAAACTTCTACAAGGACCAACTGATCTTCTGCAAGCTGTAACTACTCTTTCATTGATAATATTTAGTTTTCTACCAGCAATATCTAACTTTCTGTGATAATACAAGCAGTATCATGTTGTACACAAGCACTAAGTGATCTTTTGCAAGCAATATCTACTTTTCTATTGATAGTATTTAGTCCTCTACCAACAATTTCTTATCTTCTGCTTGCAGTATCTAATTTTCCATGAGGATACAAGCAGTACCTTATCGTCTACAAGCACTTAGTGATCTTTTGCAAGCAGTATCTACTTTTTCATTGGTAGTATCTACCATCCGTGCCAAAAGTCAAGGCCCCTCACTTTAGAAATCGATATTTTCGCAACCACTCCATAAAAAAATTGCGGTAAAGATGGTACGTTCTAGACAGTACGTCGTGCCTTTATCTTACCTGCATAAAGAAATAAAGGCGCGACATCCTGTCTTTGGAACACACATCAGGACCATCCTTTCCGATTGGACAAAACTCTATCAGCAATATCAAGTCTTCTGCAAACAGTATTAGTAGCTTTCTATGAGCTCTAAACTTCTACAAGCACTAAGTATCTTTTCCATTGATAGTATTTAGTTCTTTACCAGCAACATCTTATATTTTTCCAGCGGTATCCAGCTTTCTATAAGGTTACAAGTATTATTTTGTTGTCCACAAGCACTAAGTGATCGTCTGCAAGCAGTCGCTGCTCTTCTATTCGATAGTATTCAGTCCTGTACCAGTAACATCTAGTTTTCTGCCAAAATTATGGAGCTATTTCTGAAGACCTAATCTTCCATCAGTAGTATTTACTAAAAACAATCCCGGCAGTATCTACTCTTACATTGGTAGTATCTAGTACTTTTCCAGCAATATCTAGTCTTCTGACAGCAATATAGAGCTTACCATGAAAGTCTAAACTTTTAGAAGTACTACGTGATCCTTTGTAAGCAGTACCTACCCCTCTTTAGTCTTATACAAGTAATATCACGCCTTTTTTTGCAATTTCAACCCTCCATTATGTTTACTCTTCTCCCAACAGTATCCTGCTTTATACCAGTGATTTGCACTGCTCACTTTGATAATTTAGGCTTTTATAAGCATTAAATAATTTTCTGCAAGCAGCATCTACTCTTACATTGATAGTATCTACTACTTTGTCAGCAATATCTTGTCTTCTGCCACCAATCTGAAGCTTTTTATAAAGATGTAATCTTCAATCGGTAGTATTTAGACTTGTACAAGCATTAAATAACTTTCTGCAAGCAGTATCTACTCTTCCATTAGTAGTATCGACTACTTTTCCAGTAATATCTAGTCTTCTGACAGCAGTATAGAGCTTACCATGAAAGTCTAAACTTTTACAAGCACTAAGTGATCTTTTGTAAGCAGTACCTACTCCTCTTTAGTCTTATGCAAGCAATATCTTGCCTTTTTTTGCAGTTTTCCTGCTTTATACCTGTAGATTATACCTCACTTTGATAATTTAGGCTTTTATAAGCATTAAATAACTTTCTGCAAAGCATCTACTCTTACATTGGTAGTATCTACTACTTGGCTAGTAATATCTAGTCTTCTGACAGCAATATATGATCTTTTGTAAGTAGTATTTACTTCTATTTAGTCTTATGTAAGCAAGATCTCGCCTATATTGGCAGTTCTCCATTATGTTTAGTCTTCTACCTACAGTATCCTGCTTTGTACCAGTAGTACCAGACTAGTCTAGTCTTTTGTTAGTAGCATTTAGACTTTTACAAGCAATATCTTTTCTTCTGCCATCAGTATTTAGTCTTCTGTCAGCAGTATTTAGTTATCTGCAAACGATAAGTGGTTTTCTATAAGCAGTATCTAGCCCACCATTACCAGTATCTGTTTTTTCTGCCTTCTCAAACGATGTTGATAGTACGAATCGTCATTCTTGGCATCATATGGAGTACATTGATGACAAAATCGTGTTATATTTGAGCATACAGTATAAATTTGCGCAATGTTTTCCATTAACAATAACTATGTTGCCACAGACTGTTTTTTTAGTACTTCATAATTTTTCAATTGATATACTTACCGACAATAATTTGATGAGTTATTACATTAATTAAATGATTAAACAAATAAGTCGTTGAGACAGATTAATAAACGTGGGGTAATTTTATGAAAATAAATTTAAATAGAAATTAAAAATCAAACGTTTTTTGATAATTATTTAATTATAGTTTCACTTATTATATTGCATCGTCAATAAACATATAAGCGGTAAGTATTTACAAGTATAAAACATCGATGTTATAAAGGAAAAGAAAATTGTTAAATAAAATTTACTCAAAATTTAAAAAAATAAAAGAACCAAAAATACTCAAACCATGTTATTTTTTAAATTTACTTAAAGCTGAGTATCTTTGGTGTTTTCTCTTCGCTAAATAATCTTTTTTATGTAAGATTCACCAATTTTTTTTTAATAGTATAATAAATTACATATAATTTGTTTTTTTTTTTAGTAGTAGTAATAGTATTTTTTTATTAAATAACCTGATTCGTCCTACATTTATTTAATATAGATTTTTTTAAGGTTAAAGCAACAATAGGAGAATGAAGTTGATATTTACATTGATAAAAGCGACACAATTTTTATAGTTTATTAAATCACATTTTAATTTAAATTGTTTAGTATTAAAACTTCTTTCTCCTTATTCACAAAAAAAAAATAAATTAAATAAAAAGAACTATTTTATTTATTTTAATTTTTATAATTTCTATAATTAAGTCCAGCAAAGATTAATTAATTAATTGAAAGTTTGTTATTCGAGAGAGCATTCATAGAATGCATAATTTTTTAAACAAGGTTGGTTTTAATTAAATTAAAGAATTTTTTTTTGATACATTATTAGTTGAAGTAATTATTATATTACACATACATTGCACATATGAATACATAAAAAATAAATTTAGTGAAATATATTTTAATATAAGATAATATAATATACCCTAGCTATTAGCTAAAGCCTATTTAAATTTCTACTCAAGTTTTAGCTATTAGCTACTTCTATTGTAAACACCCATCAAATACTTCTTTGTTTGTTTAATTTGTTTGTTAAATTTCCTTAAAAAGAGATAAATATTTAGATTTAAATCTAAATAATAAAATAAACAAATACTAATTTAATCCACTATTTATTTTTTTTAAATAACATTTTTTTAACATAATAAAATGACAGTTTTAGCAATTTAAATTTATATATATATATTTTGTTTTTTTTTTTTTAATTTGTTGTATAGAGACGTAAAAGCGTTCATCAAAATGAACGTTAAGAGGAAATTACCTGCAAACGCCTTTTATTACGCAAATATATCTCATCAATCAAAATTATAGTTAATGTTAATAATAATATGTATGGACAAAACAAAAATGGGAGAAAAAGAAAAAAATTATATATAAAAAACGCACTCGTTTTATATTAACACAAAAACTGTACAAGTCACTCCTCCTCCGGTTTTTTTTTCTCTTTTGTGGTTGATACAGTGAGCATAAAAAAGATCTCCAAAAAAAGAAAATGCGAAAAAAAATAAGAAAACCATACACAAAGAGTGCACGTCTACACATAACTTAAGTTATATATATATATATAATGTTTATATATATTAAATTTTTATCTAAAGTCCATGTTTTTTTTTTGTATCATTATTTTTTATCCTTGTAGTAGTAATAATACAGGCGTGACACAATTTTTTTTTTAATTTAAATGTATCTTTCGTTATTATTAAATTTTTTTGCTTACTTTGGTGACGAGATAATAAACTTGAATCATGCACGCATTGCACTTCTTATAAGCTATTACGAACATCTTTAAACTACGTTTTTTTATTTAAATTTTCACCCTTTTTCTTGTATGTCTAAAGCACAAGCTAGAGTTTACACAGTTATGCATAATTTGTCCAGTTGATAAAGAGTTTTACCCGGTTCTAAGGCTTGTCTCGAGCAATTCGTCGCAATCTACCCATCGATATTTTTGCTTTTTAGTATATATTTATTTTAACTTTGTGATCGCTACTTCTTCGGGCGAGTCTTCTGTGATTTTACGTTTTTACGGTTTTCTACGGGCCTCTAAAATAACATCGAGAAAACTTTAAATACATTCATTCATAAAATTTAAAAATTAAATAAAAATTAACTTAAATTAATATCAATTCATTTTGGAGATGAATTCATTTAATATTCATATCCAAAATAATTATCCACAAATATATTAATTAATTTGGGGTGATCTGCAAATTACAATTTTAATAAAAAAAGAATTTAATTTGAAGCAATTTTTTAAGATTAACTCCTACACAACTTTATTACTTCATCCTTGGTTAAAATCTATTTATAACATACACGTCATCTAAGGAAAAAATAATAATAAGTGGGGAAATTAAAAAAAAGGAAAAAATTGAGTGTAAAAAAAAATACAAAAAATTTTATCGAACTAATTTATTTAAACCCAATAAATATATTTACTTATAATCTAAAAAATAATCTTTTTCTAGGAAAAAAATAAAAATAAGAAATACATCAAAATTCTATTTTGCAGATCACCTTTTTTATTTTTGCTATATTTGTGTTGCTCTTCAAATTCTTTAATTCGATATGATTTTAAAGCATGCGTGATAATCAATCTCTTAATTTGATAAATTGCACACGGCTCATCAGGTGATATTAATAATTAACAGATTTTTCGACGATTTCTTCTTCCTCAACTGCCTTTATTTTTGCATTCAATTGGATTTTATTTTTATTTTATGTTCATTCGGTTTATGTCGTTTTTAGATAAAAAATCTCGTCAATTTCTTCGCTAATTAATAAAACAATTTCGATCAACATAAACCGCAATGACGATAATTAAAAATATCGCGTGGTTATTGGCTAAAAAAAATGCCGTTTTACACATATCTTAAGTTTTTTTTTTGTATGTAGTTATTCTGTACAACTGACGGATCGCGTATTATAATAATTAATTAATTAATTAACCTATGGTACAGCTGTATCTTAATTTTTTCCGATATTTTTTTTTAAACGGGAATCGAATCGTGGTCACACACGCAGATCATCTACCTATAGTAAGTTAAAAGTGTTCTAGTAGCAGGTCAGGGCAGGGCTAAGGTGCCACGCGTCATTTTTTTAAAGGGATATTTTCGATGGGCGATAGAGGGGAAAATAGTGATAACAAAAATTGGTAAAGTAATTTTTTTAATTTTACTTTAACCGATTCGGTTATTATTTTTTTTTTAAATTGCGTATTGTGGGGGGATTTGAACTACCTAAGCTATGCCTGACGCCGCGGCTTGTACCGGAGGACTTGTTGCATCGGTTGTGTCCGCGGCCGTTGAAGCTCCTGCTCCGTCCTGTGGACTATTTGATGCCTCCTGTACACCGCGTGGTACCAAAATTGTATTTAACGATGGCTGGATACTTAACTCTGGAACAAAAAATATAATTACTTAATATCATGATAATAATTATTTGAAACGTTTCAAACACAAAAGAGAAACAATCACTTATTGCTTTGTAATACTTGAACCACTGTGTTAGTTCTAGTTTTACACTAGCACTAAAAATAATACTATGCCTAGAACTAGAATCATTCGGGTTTAGCCATCTTGAGAGACGTGCGACTAAATCCGAATGATTCTAGTTCTAGGTATAGTTTTAGTTCTAGTGATAGTGCTAGTGCAAAATTAAAACTAACATTTTTTAACAATTTCGTTAAAAAAAACTAAGATTTTCGTCAAAATCAGAAAATTTTGATCTAATTTGATGTGCCACATCCCATATTTATCATAAAATTCACTTTGAAAAGCATAAATGACACAAATAATTAGTGTTTTGTTTTCGGCCATCTTGATTTTATACAAATAATGATATCTTGGAGGTTATAACACTTAAATATGTCGAGTTTGAACTCATTTTGAACCTTTTTTAATTATCTTTAGAAATATTTAGGAATTGCTTCTTTTCGACAATCTTGAATTTCACAAATATTCCATTTTATTAAAAAAAAACTAAGATTTTCGTCAAAATCAGAAAATTTGGACCTAATTTGATGCGCCACATCCCATATTTATCATAAAATTCACTTTTAAAAGCATAAATGACACAAATAATTAGTGTTTTGTTTTCGGCCATCTTGATTTTATACAAATAACGATATCTGGATATTATAACACTTAGATATGTCGAGTTTGAATTCATTTTAAACCTTTTTTAATTATCTTTAGTAATATTTAGGAATTGCTTCTTTTCGGCGATCTTGAATTTCACAAACTTTCAATTTCATTAAAAAAAAAACTAAGATTTTCGTCAAAATCAGAAAATTTGGACCTAATTTGATACGCCACATCCCATATTTATCATAAAATTCACTTTTAAAAGCATAAATGACACAAATAATTAGTGTTTTGTTTTCGGCCATCTTGATTTTATACAAATAATGATATCTTGGAGGTTATAACACTTAGATATGTCGAGTTTGAACTCATTTTGAACCTTTTTTAATTAACTTTAGTAATATTTAGGGATTGCTTCTTTTCGGCAATCTTGAATTTTACAAATATTCAATTTTATTAAAAAAAAACTAAGATTTTCGTCAAAATCAGAAAATTTGGACCTAATTTGATGCGCAACATCCCATATTTATCATAAAATTCACTTTTGAAAGCATAAATGACACAAATAATTAGTGTTTTGTTTTCGGCCATCTTGATTTTATAAAAACATTGATATCTTGGGGGTTGCAACACTTAGATATGTCGAGTTTGGACTCATTTTGAACGTTTTTTAATTGTCTTCAGTAATATTTAGGAATTGTTTCTTTTCGGTAATCTTGAATTTCACAAATATTCAATTTCATTAAAAAAAAAACTAAGATTTTCGTCAAAATCGGAAAATTTTGACCTAATTTGATGCGCCACATCCCATATTTATCAAAAATTCACTTTTAAAAGCATAAATGACACAAATAATTAGTGTTTTGTTTTCGGCCATCTTGATTTTATAAAAACAATGATATCTTGGGGGTTGCAACACTTAGACATGTCGAGTTTGGACTCATTTTGAACGTTTCTTAATTATCTATGATAATATTTATGTGTCATTTGTTTTTGGACATCTTGGAATTTGCGAGAAAATAAAAAAAGGTTGTTGGTGTGCGTTAAAATGCTTCTAATTGATGGAAAATGTCGGAACGTTATTTGACTGTCATAAGACTCAAAAGTTTTAGAATACCAGAAGTTTCTAGGTCTAGTTTTAGTTCAATAAAAATATGTAACGTAGTAATATCTAGTACTAATTAGCGCTACTTAGAACTGCCACTAGAACTAACACTAGACATAGAAACTAGACTCTCAAGACGGCTAAACTGAAATTACATCTTTAATAACATAGAATTTTTGAGCCACTGCCTCATTCTTCATTACTACGTTAATATATGTAGAAGAGAAACATTAATTTATTGTTTTGCCTCATTTACTAATAATTTTCGAAATAATTAAATTAAATATAATTATTTACCTTGTTCTGTAAAGTTAAATAATGGGGGCAACTCATTTCCGTTGGGTAGACGTGTATTCGGTTCTCTNACTTAGATATGTCGAGTTTGGACTCATTTTGAACGTTTCTTAATTATCTATGATAATATTTATGTGTCATTTGTTTTTGGACATCTTGGAATTAGCGAGAAAATAAAAAAAGGTTGTTGGTGTGCGTTAAAATGCTTCTAATTGATGGAAAATGTCTGAACGTTATTTGACAAAGATAAACGAAGTTAATTATCTCAAACGAGATGTTTCCATAAGACTCAAAAGTTTTAGAATACCAGAAGTTTCTAGGTCTAGTGTTAGTTCTAGTTTTAGTTCAATAAAAATATGTAACGTAGTAATATTTAGTACTAATTAGCGCTACTTAGAACTGTCACTAGAACTAACACTAGACTTAGAAACTAGACTCTCAAGACGGCTAAACCGAAATTACATCTTTAATAACATAGAATTTATGAGCCACTGCCTCGGTTTTCACTACTACGTTAATATAGAGGAGAAACATTAATTTATTATTTTGTAATGCTTAACCTTTGCCTCGGTAACGTAGCTGCCTCATTTACTAATAATTTTCGGAATAATTAAATTAAATATAATTATTTACCTTGTTCTGTAAAGTTAAATAATGGGGGCAACTCATTTCCGTTGGGTAGACGTGTATTCGGTTCTCTTAGTTCATTAAAGAACGAATGGGCACAAGCCTGTAACGGGCTAATACGTGATGATGGTGTATATTCCAGCAATCGGGCGACCAATTCGATCGCTTCCGGTGGTGTACGTGCCCTAAAGACCTAAAGGAAACAATAAAAAGAATAACTAGAAATAAAAAAAAAGTTGCCCAACCCCAAACGGACGTCACAAAGATAGATAGATATCATGTAAAAAAAACGGGAAAAGTTATTTCTTGGTAGTTTTCAAAAACACCAAAAGAAACTTTTTTATTTTCATTTAAAATTTGTTTTTAATTATTTTTTGTATGTTGTTAGTTGGTGATCAAGCGACAAAGAGACGGCACAAGGCGATTAGCCTCTCAAGTCCACTCTCGCCTACTTACACGAATTCTTTGATGTTCAGTCGTGCATTTCGGCAGCGACATTCTAGTCAGCAATAACTGCAAACAAAGGTCCGTTTCTAGTAAACTTTTGTTGAGTGTCAAAAAGCTTAGAATGAGGAAAATGAAAAATCAAAGAAATTAAAAATCACACTATTAAATCGTTAGTTTTTAGATTAAAAGGTGTGTTTGTGTAATTTGTACCTGAGGACCAAAAGTTTGAAGTTATTGCGTTGATTCGTATAAGTATTCAAACCAAAAAAAATTTTCTATTTTATAAAGTTAGTTAAATAAATAAGCATACACTCTATCTTTGAATTAATAACAAACAAAAATCTTACCTGTTGCCAAGGATGAGACTTAATCTGTGGAAATTTAAACTCGGTGTAATTGGGGTTCATTTCACGTATTTGTTCTCTCGTTGGCGTTCCAAGTACTTTAATGATTTCGACCAATTGGTCAACGCCGGAATCGCCAGGGAAAATTGGTTGACCAAGAAGCAATTCAGCAAGGACGCAACCTGCACTCCACACATCAATCTTCGTCGTGTAATCGATTGCGCCAAAGATGAGTTCTGGGGCGCGATAATACCGACTGCAAATGTACGAGACATTCGGCTCGCCTTTTACCAGGTGTTTCGCGCTTCCGAAATCGCAAAGTTTCAACACGCCAGTGTCCGGATCGAGCAATAAATTTTGCGGCTTGATGTCTCTGTGGCAAATACCCAACGAATGGATATATGCCAACGAACGAAACAATTGGTACATATATAACTATAATCAAAAGAAGAAATATTTAGTAAAAAANTGAATTTCACAAATATTCAATTTCATTAAAAAAAACTAAGATTTTCATCAAAATCAGAAAATTTTGACCTAATTTGATGCGCCACATCCCATATTTATCATAAAATTCACTTTTGAAAGCATAAATGACACAAATAATTAGTGTTTTGTTTTCGGTCATCTTGATTTTATACAAATAATGATGTCTGGGAGGTTATAACACTTAGATATGTCGAGTTTGAACTCATTTTGAACCTTTTTTAATTATCTTTAGTAATTGCTTCTTTTCGGCAATCTTGAATTTCACAAATATTCAATTTCATTAAAAAAAAACTAAGATTTTCATCAAAATCAGAAAATTTTGACCTAATTTGATGCGCCACATCCCATATTTATCATAAAATTCACTTTTAAAAACATAAATGACACAAATAATTAGTGTTTTGTTTTCGGCCATCTTGATTTTATACAAATAATGATGTCTGGGAGGTTATAACACTTAGATATGTCGAGTTTGAACTCATTTTGAACCTTTTTTAATTCTGTTTAGTAATATTTATTAATTGCTTCTTTTCGGTAATCTTGAATTTCACAAATATTCAATTTCATTAAAAAAAACTAACATTTTCGTCAAAATCAGAAAATTTTGACCTAATATGATGCGCCACGCCCCATATTTATCATAAAATTCACTTTTAAAAGCATAAATGACACAAATAATTAGTGTTTTGTTTTCGGCCATCTTGATTTTATACAAATAATGATATCTTGGAGGTTATAACACTTAGATATGTCGAGTTTGAACTCATTTTGAACCTTTTTTAATTATCTTTAGAAATATTTAGGAATTGCTTCTTTTCGACAATCTTGAATTTCACAAATATTCCATTTTATTAAAAAAAAACTAAGATTTTCGTCAAAATCAGAAAATTTTGATCTAATTTGATGCGCCACATCCCATATTTATCATAAAATTCACTTTTAAAAGCATAAATGACACAAATAATTAGTGTTTTGTTTTCGGCCATCTTGATTTTATACAAATAATGATATCTTGGAGGTTATAACACTTAGATATGTCGAGTTTGAACTCATTTTGAACCTTTTTTAATTATCTTTAGAAATATTTAGGAATTGCTTCTTTTCGACAATCTTGAATTTCACAAATATTCCATTTTATTAAAAAAAAACTAAGATTTT